ATAGGGCAGTGTAATTTCTTTCTTGTTGTGACTCCCATTAGACTGCAGCTTCCGTCTTCAGAACAGACACAGCAGTAAAATGTATCAGATCCATGGTCTGAGCTGGGGGGCATTTTGGATCCTGCTTTTCATGGGACAGTATAAAACATTACATTATTCACCAGTGCACATGGCCCACAAGCTGCTGCAGACATCACATTCTCAGCTGTCCATGGGAAAAATGCACTTAGATTAGATTAGTGTCATAAATATTCCTACATATTTTTTAGTCTGGGAGCCAGACTGTTTCTCTCTGTGTAGACTCTACAGAAGATCTCTCTGGTCACTGTCTCCTCTATGTTCCTGGCCAGACTCAGACCGAGCCATCCAATCAGGATTATCGATTATTTCAGTGACAGAAAGAAAACAGAGCTCTTTGGTAATCTATTATTTATTCATCCATCCATTTTCTTCCACTTATCTGGGGCCAAGTCGTAGGGGCAGCAGTCTAAGCAGGGACTCCCAGATTTCCTTTACCCCAGACACTTCTTCCAGCTCCTCTGGGGAGACCCCAAGGTGTTTCCAGGACAGCTCAGAGACCCTCCGGTGTGTCCTGGGGCTTCCCTGGGGCTTCCTTCCAGTGGGACATGCCTGGAACACCTCCGGAGGGAGGCATCAGAACAGATGCCCAAACCACCTCAGATGGCTCCTCTCAATGTGGAGGAGCAGCGGCTGTACTCCAAACTCCTCCCGTGTGACTAAGCTCCTCCTGGGAATGCCCAGCCACTCTGTAGAGGAAACTCATTTCGGCTGCTTGTATCCGTGATCTCGTCTTTTCAGTCATTACCCAGAGCTCTTGACCATAGGCGAGGGGAGGAACGTAGATTGACCAGTAAATCAAGAGCTTTGCCTTTTGACTCAACTCCCTCTTCGCCACAACAGTCTGATACAGCGACCACATCACTGCCGACGCTGCGCAGATCTGCTTGTCAGTCTCACGTTCCATCCTCCCTTCTCTTGTGAAAAAGACCCCAAGATACTTGAACTCCTCCACTTGAGGCAGGGACTCTCCACCATCTTGAAGAGAGCAAGACACCTTTTTCCGGTCGAGAACCATGGCCTCGGATTTGGAGGAGCTGATCTTCATCCCAGCCGCTTCACACTCGGCTGCAAGCTGCCCCAGTGCACATTGCAAGTTTTGGCTTGATGAAGCTAACAGGACAACATCATCTGTAAACAGCAGAGATCCTGTGGTTCCTAAATTAGACCCAAGCCCTCACTGCGCCTAGAAATTCTGTCCATAAATACAATGAACAGAACACGTGACAAAGAGCACCTCTGGCGGAGTCCAACATGCACCAGGAACAGGTCTGACTTACTGCCAGCAATGGGAACACAGCTCCTGCTCCAGTCTTAAAGGGACCGGACAGCTCTTAGCAAAGGGCCACAAACCCCAGACTCCCAGAGTACCCCCCATAGGAGACCATGCGACCATCTCGTTCACCGGGGTGAACTGCAATACATGGTGGCTAAGCTGTGGGGAAATGAAACTATATCATACAAACTATATCTAGTCTGTAACGCTCAACCTCCCACACAAGCTCAGGCTCCTTCCCCCCCAGTGAGGTGAAATTCCGTGTCCCCAGAGCCAGTCTCCATGTCCAGAGATCCGGTCGTCAAGACCCTCGCCTTCGACTGCCACCCAGATCTCACTGCACCAGTCATTTATGGATCCTCCTGCGGGTGGATGGCCCCACGTTGCTCCTTCGGGCTGTGCAAGGGGGAAGTCCCGGCCACCAGATGCTTGAAGTCGTAACTGGCCTCGTTATTGTGCTCATCATAAAGGGCATTTGAACCGCTCTTAGTCCGACCTGTCCTTCAGGACCAGTTTGCCTTGGGTGACCCTACCAGGGGCATGAAGCCCTGACAACATAGTTCCCGGGATCATTCAGGCACTCAAACCACTCCACGACATTAAGGTGGCAGTCCAAGGAGGAGGGTCATCTATTATTTAAAACAAAATCAAGGACGTAGTGTTTTGTATACACTCACACTCTGATTCTGCTGAAGTCAGTGCTGTTCAGTAATTTTTTCATTGTAATATGAGTTAGAATTAATCAGTATTTAAACAAACTAAAGACAAATTTGTGGATCCAATTAATAAGGTTTTTCAGTTTAGATATGTCAGAGTAGAAATTGCCCATCTGTCTTCCATCTGAAAATATATATTCGGAAGAGGGCTGCACAATTTATCAAAATAAGTTAGAATGGCTGCAATTATTAAATTAAAAAGGCATTAATTATTACAGGGCTTATAATAGTGAAGTTGTGTGTGTGCATGTACAGGAGCTACCACTCTGTGCTTTGGCCCACCTCCTGTAGTTTTTCTATCATTACTGTGTGAAATGGCTCCAGCTTATAAAAAAAAAAATCACAAAGAGCGTTAATCTCGCAGTATTGCAGTACTACTTTAGATATTTTTTATTGAAGTGGGAAAAAGTTTTTCCACTGTAAATAAATATATATTTTCCCCATTGAATATACTGTAAAATCAATCACAAAAAGATGACATACTGTCTGTAGGTATGTGCAGGTGATCTTCCATGTGTTAGGAAATCAGGTGAATCATTATCAACATGACAACATCAAAAAGAGCAGGGCAACGAATTAATTCATTTTACCAATTTGTGGCTTTAATAACAGAAACTCTAAAATTGAGGATTATTATGGAACAATTTTACTTCTGGCTTTCTTACTTGCAAAGCATCACTGTACCATCAAACTATTGCTATTGTAAAATGTTTTCATTTAAACTGTTAAAATGTGATTACATATATATAAAAACAAATTTAATTGAAGGCAGTCCTTACTCTGGATGTAATCCATATCCTATTTCATTCAGTACATGCAAGAAAAAAATCTAGATTTTAATTGTTTGTCATATCGCTCAGCCCTACTAACAAGTCACAGCAATCAAATATCTGTATCCGTTAAGAGCAATTAAAGGTGATTTGCTGTGAAGGAAATTTGAGGTGTGCAAAGATGTGACAGAGAAATTAAATATCAAGGTTTTTTTTTTTTTTCAAAATTTTTCGAAGAGGATCAATTCCTGCTTTCTAACAAGTTCTGTTGTTGTGTCCTTGTGTTGAAGGTAGTCAGAGGGGCTTATGGCTCATCATCAGTCCATCCCAAGGCAGCTGTGTCAGAAGTATCTTAGCACCACCAAGAGTGGAGTGAATGAATAATGCTCTGACAGAGTATTGGCTGTAAACCTCTCCATTAAAAACACTCAAGCTGATCACTGACACTTCACAGAAATTATTGATGTTAAAGGTGCATTTTATTGTCCCTGTTGGGGCTCTTGGACCCATCTCAATGATCCTAGTCTTGGTCACAACTATGTTAGTTGGAGGATCGTACCTAATGTACATGTTATTAATGTACATGTTATGAGTTGATGGGGGGAGTACAGAGTGCCCAGAGGAAACCCACCCCACATCCAAACCCCACACAGAAAGCCCCTTGCTGTGAGCCACCATGCCACAGACTGAATTTGCATCTCAAATAGTCGTTACCTGCTCTGTCCTGAGTGGTGGGAGAAGTTTTCCCTGACTCAAGAGCCAATGGCATCATTTATACTAAAACAAATCACAGCACCAACATGGTTTATAGAGAATGTCACTACAGTATATGGAAAAGAACCACACATACGTTGTATAATCTGGGGAAGTCCTGCTTCCTGTTGTTTTGTGTCAGTGTATATATATCACATTATACATTATGTGATATTTTGGATATAGTTGTGATTTTCAGGTAGGGTTGTGAAATCGACACCCAGAGCATTAACATCTGAAAAAACACCAAAATATAAACTGATTAATACAGGTCTCCCATGCATTTCGGAACATTGTTTGTAAAGATCTAAAATACAGGGTTAGCAGCTTTTACACACATTTTCTAGCTAGATAACTTAAAGGTTTCCCTCTCTGTGTCCTCCTGTGTGTGCATACATACAGAGCAGGGTTGAGTCGGCGGGTTAGCATTAGCATTAGCTCTGATGCTGTTTGGCTAACCTTTGTAACCTCCTCCAGATGTGTGTTGCGGCTGGGGCAGCTGGGGCCTCTCTGCTCCATGATGTCACTGCACTGTACTACAATAACACCAGAACTTAGACTATAGAGCATAGCCTAAATGTTAAATGGAGATCTGAAGATGCTAAATAGTGTTATAGTAATTATTCTGAGGTAGCATCATAGGCAGTTCTCTTTCCAATCTTTCCTAACCACATGTTTGCTTGGAATGCCTTGTGTTTCTAGTATTTTTTTGTCAGAGAGTACATTAACTTTCTGATAAAAAATGCCTCAATCTAAGTGTGTACTGCCTGCACTGGCCTCTGCAATTTCCAGTTGTTGGTGACATCACAGAGGGCTGCCTGATTACAGCCAGTTGTTTGAGGTGCGAATACCTGTTAGACCAATCACACTGTTCGTTTTGTTCAAGGCTGCGCCCCTCCTGCTCCCACCTCTCCTCTTTAGTGCTCCAGACCGCCTGCTTCCTCCCCCCTCACTCTCTCCTTTAGTTCTCCAGATCCCACCCCTCCTTTCTTCTTTAGTCCTCCAGGTACTACCATATAGTGGAGCAGTCCAGGCAAAACAGAGATTTTCCTTTGATTAAAACCTTTTTGTTGTAATTGACATAAAATGTGTATTTTGTTTATATTTGCAAAGGCTATTTTGTAGGGATATTGAACAGTTTTTATGCATATATGCAGTTTAATGAAGACAGACTTTTTGTAGCCCAGTGAGTACAAGGGTGGGTGTTACTAATCTTAATATACGTATATTTTTATTGACTTGATAACAATAGTAAGACCATGTTTTTGCAATCCATTAGAAATTCCCTAAAACATGCCTGTAAATGTCTTGGACTGTAAAACTGATTTGAAACTATCCCACAGAACATCCTATTTACAGCCACATGAGTGGACTCCATGTGCTAATGTGTCCTCTGTCCTTCCCCAGAAAAGTGGCTCCATGAGCCAGCTACCCGGAGAGGAGATGAGGGACGAGCTGAAGGATGAGCCCCTGCCCCCACACTGGAGCTGCTACATGTCCCCACAGGGACACAAGTACTACGTCAACACCACCAGCAACGGTGAGAGGGTCTGACAAACGTTAAAAGGGCTATATTTAATTACTAAAACTGCAACTATTAAACAATAATTGTGATGTGTTGACTATTAAGGAGGGGTATTATGATAAATGGACTTTTTATACCGATATATTGGTTGGCATATACTATTGGCAGATATGGGCACTTATTGGCTATTGGAGACATATTGACTATTGCTCTAAATCTAGGAGATATCTCTATATTACATCAGTTTAATCCAGTTTACAGCCAGATCAAATGTAGTGCTGCATCGGTATTTATCAGAGGAGTAATTTGTCTGTGTTTGTGACGTCATACTGCATCTGAATGCACCCCCAGACACTTGTTTACTTTTTTACACCAGTGCGTTTTCACTATTCGCTCTGAGGCAACACTGAGGCACGGGCTTTAAATGCTCTTGTGTCTGATCCAGCAGGGTAGTTACGTGGTGGCCACAGGGGCATGCACTGGGCATGGGGCAGATACATAACAGTGCTCTATTCCACGCTATACCTGCATTCTCTTTGAAAACCTTTGCTGTGTCTGTCACTTTTAACTCCATCTGGACTCATTCAAGTTCAGTCGGTGCAGAGAGAGCGAAGCGGTCTTTCTAACTGCTCTACAGTGCACTGATTGCTAGACTCTGATTCAGTCGTAGACTATTCCACTGTATAACCACCTCAAATAATGGACTGGTCTATGAAAGGGACTCGGAGTCAGGATGCAGTATTGCAGCAGACACAACACACAGCAGCGGGACATGGCACAGCTCCTAAAGCAGGCTCCAGTACTGGGCTCACGCACGAGATATTTGCTCCTCTGTCTGCATATCTAGGTCTTACAGGACAAAACATCTCATAAAGACCTCACAAAGAACTACAGTTCAACCGCATTACATTAAAATTAAACTATAGTACTTAATGCATTGTGTCTTATTGAGCTTATCTCATATCTCCTTGTTAAGACATGTTTTTTTTTTCAAATGAATAAATAAAATCCACAGAAAACATATACAACAACTCTTGGCAGGTTCTACTTTAGTTTTTAGAGTAACTAATTTACTTTACGTTCCTCTGCTGTAACGCCATCAGTGTAACAGGGTTCTTTATGAGTACTGGCTCGAACATCCCCCTGGCTTCAAAGTCCCAGCTTCAATGTCCCATTCTCTTGGCTTGAACGTCCCCCTCCTCCCTACGGGCACCCGCTTCTCTTGAGCGGCAAACTGCTGTGCTCGGGAGAGGGGGGGCATTCTTGCCGGCCTTTAGTTGGCTATGTCACGCACTGTGATGTATAGAGTTAGAAAATCAGCATTCTGCATCATAATAAAATTAAATGTGAATGTAGTGAGACCAAATGTCGGGCCTTGTTTGTCATTTTCCCAATCTTCCCTAAGTGGTGCACTTTTTTTTAGTATGTAATATCAATATAATCCTCATTTGCTCACTGAAGTTTACTATGAAATTGTATTTTTTTATATTTTTTTATTGTTCGTCACCATGTCCTATAGCATCTGTAACTGTTTGGGAAGAAATATAAATTATTTCCTAACCTGCTTCCATGAACATAATTTCTAAGCAGTGCAACACAAGAAACTTAGAAAGTCCAAAAATCATTCAGAATCACTTTTAGGAAAGTCTTAACTATGTGTTTCAATGAAATATGTAAGATAAAATCCTGAAATAGTTGCAGCACAGTTGAGACCAGATAATGTTTTTTTTTTTGCAAGTCTTTATTGTGATCATACACAGTATAATGAGATGCAGAGCTGCTTCTTCAAAGTGCAAAAAATAAAAAATAAAAAATCAACAGTTCTCAGTGCAAAGTTCAGTTCAATATGGTGACAGCTTTGGGATAGAAGCTGTCCCTGAGTCTATTTGTTCAGGCTGGTATGAACCTGAAGCGCCTACCAGAAGGCAGCAGAATGAAGAAATGGAAGCCGGGGTGTGTATTGTCTTTAATGATGTTCCTAGCCCTGCTGAGACAGCCGGAGTTGTAGATGGTGGATATGGGAGGCAGAGGGCAGCCAATAATGTCCTGTGTAGTGTTGGTGATCCTCTGTAGACGCTTCCTGTCAGCCTCTGTGCAGCTAGAGTGCCACACTGATACAGCATATGTCAGCAGGCTCTCAATGGTGGAATGATAGAAGGTCACCAGCAGGCTTGTGTTTAGCTGCTCCTTCCTAAGCACCCTCAGGAAGTGCAGCCGCTGCTGGGCCTTTTGGACTGAGGTGTTGACTGACCAGGAGAGGTCAGCAGAGATGTGAACCCCAAGGAATTTGAAGGACTCCACTCGCTCCACACTTTGGCTGGTGATGTACAGGGGGGCAGGGGTAGCTCTGTTCCGCCAAAAGTCCAGGATGAGTTCCTTAGTCTTGGTGATGTTCAGTGCCAAGTTATTATTTGCACACCACTCGCTGAGTTTCAGGACCTCATCTCTGTGGGGCGCTTCATTCCCCTCTGTTATCAGCCACACCACCGTCGTGTCATCAGCAAATTTGACTATGATGTTCTCTGGGTGGGTGGGACTGCAGTTGTGAGTGTAGAGCGAGTAGAGGAGTGGGCTCAGCACACAGCCCTGGGAAGAGCCGGTGCTGAGAGTGCAGGTGGATGATAGGTGGGGACCCAGTTTCATTTGCTGGGGTCGATTGACCAGAAAGTCCTTAATCCAGGAGCAGGTGGATGGTGGGAGCCCCAGGTTGGCCAACTTGGGGATCAGGATGTCTGGTATTATTGTGTTAAAAGCTGAGCTGTAGTCAGTGAAGAGCATCCTGACATAGCTCTCCCGTTTCTCCAGGTGGTTTCAGCGCAGAGTGGAGGGTGATGTTATTGCATCTTCCGTGGATCTGTTTGACCGATATGCAAACTGATGCGGCTTTGATATGCCTTAGAACCTTTTGCCTTTCTCTAAGCACTTGGTGATGACTTGGGTAAGTGCTATGGGGTGGAAGTCATTAAGGTCGGTTGTGGATGCCTTTTTTGGGACTGGGATGATAATAGCAGATTTTAAGCAGTCTGGAATGACTGCTTGTTTCAGTGACAGGTTAAAAATGTCAGTGAAGACCTGTGCTAGCTGGTCAGCACATGCCTTGAGCACTTTCCCTGGTACTCTCTCCAGGCCTGTAGCCTTCCTGGGGTTAACTGCACAGAGCACCTGCTTCACATCCTCCACCTCAACAGTCAGTGGGGGGATGTTGGAGATTGATTGTAGTGCGGGTTGGAGTGGTGTGACTGAGTGCTGTGCCTGTGCCTGGGATTCAAAGCGGGAAAAGAAGCTGTTTAATTCCTCTACCAGTGCCACATCTGAGTCTCCTGATGTCACAGCACAGCCTCTGTAGTTACTGATGGATTGTATGCTCTGCCACACCTCCCAGGGGTTGTTGAGTTGCTCCTCTACCTAGCATCTTTGACGCCTCTCCTCAGGTTGGTGCGAGTGGTGCTGTATAATTCTCTGTCACCTGATTTGAAGGCTAGGTCTCGAGCCCGGATCTTTACCGCAGTAACCATATCAACGCAGAACTTGATGTAAGACAGTACTGTATTTGTGAATGTAGCCAGGTCTTCATGATGGAAGGCTTCCCACTGTGTTCAAAGCAGACCTGCAGTCGGAACAGGGCGTCATCAGGCCAGGTGGTAACAGACAGTCTTTCTGTCTTCTGTCTTTCTTTCTGTCTGCTGAGTGGGGGGAAGCAGGGGTGAGAAACAGGGAGAGACGGTCCGACTGGCCCAGGTTGGGGAGGGGTATGGCTCTGTATGCATGCTTGATGTCAGAATATACATGGTCTAGACTAGCTGCGCCAAAGTGTCGGGGATTTGTGCGTGTAACCATGTTTCTGTTATGATAAGCATACAGCAAACTTGAACATAGCAGTTACCAGCCAGCTGTAATTCCAAATCATCCGTTTTACCATGGATCTAGCGTTTGAGAGATGTGTTGAGATATATTGTAACTTGCATGTTTACTATATATATACTTACTTAGTTTCATAAAGACTACAGTTCAGGGGGACTTTTCAACCAGCACGACTTACCAGCTGGTTCCCCTCTTTATTTTACTGAGTCACAGCTGTGGTGACAGATCAGACTGCGCTCTCTTGTCTCATTCAGAAGAGCTGCTAAGTTGCAAAGAGCTGCAGGGACAGCTGTTTGCCCTGTGCTGTTGTGATGATACAGTTGTGTTTTTGAGCTCTGTGGAGGAGACTAGCTTGTAGCATATAACTCTGGCTCCTGATGGATTTGGTGATTTGTAGGGCAAATTAAGACAATTTTAGCTCATCTTTACATGGAAAAAGCAGCAGCAGAGTATTTGATTTGTACTTTAGCAGCAATAAGTTTTAAGAAGGAAGTAAAAAGGGTTGCACCTGTCCTGTCTGAGAAAAGTGTATAAAGTGTGTGCTAAGGGGTTTTACAGCCTTAACACAGATAGAATAATTGTAAAATATAAACTTGACTACTTCGCGGATTTCACCTATCGCGGGTTATTTTTAGAACATAACCCCCACGATAAACGAGGGAACACTGTACTCTCACCTCGCAACCTGTGCACATGGCCTCCCACTTGTCCCGACCGGGACGGAAAACGGAGAATTTCTTGTACAAGTCATTGTTAATGTGCATGTGTGCTTCGGTATGTTGCAGACTGACCGACTGTTTGTGTCTGCTCGCTCCCGGACATGACGCAAAATACGGACATGTCCGGGGAAAAATGGACGTTTGGTCACCCTAGTTACTTACGCAATTACTTTGAGGGAAAAGTAATGGGTAACTGTAACTACTTACTTGCCCAACACTGACATTACTTTGAATTGCTTTGAGAAACACAAGGAGCATGTGTTGGTGTTGACCAATCAGACGTTACAACAGACGTATTTGTTTATGAGCACAGCGGGTGCTCGTGCAGCCTGAATGCAGAAAGCCCCGCTGTCTGTGGGTAACATGAAGTTGCAACAGTAGCTAGCGCTGTTGTGAGCACACTAAAACAGTTTATTACCGTGTGATAAAATACATTATGATACTAGATTAACATTAGTGAGTGGGATATGTCTTAATGAACCATATGTGTTAAATGCAGTTGAGTGCATAAATGATGAGAAGAATTGGCTCAAAGTTTAGTAGCCGGACATACTTTCATACCTAATCGATACAACTAGCCCCGACCCTGGAAGAGCCTGAAATCTGCTGAAATCCTACATAATCCAAAGACACTGATATGATACCAGACAGGTCAGCGGCTCTTTCTGCAGCAGATTGCAAAGTGACGTCGTCTGATAATCCCTTTATAGCTCCTCGTGTCCAATCACAGGGCTGTTTACTACTGATCCTGGGTCAGTTTTAAAGTGCACTAGGAATATGGAGGGTGGCTCTGAGTCAATCTTTAAATTTCTTGATTAACCCCGGTCGGTCCTACGGAAGGCTAATGAATGAATAACAACAGAGCTATGTGCTATAGGAGTTATAACGAGATCAACTTAAAGTCAAAGTTTGTTCGAGGAACAGTTTTTAGGGAGTAATATGTCTTCTCGTCAGCGGGACCCTTCTGCCAAGCAAGAAAAGATGATTGCATTTGGCTGTGTTGGAATCCTACAGCACTTATTCTGATTAACACACTGGCTAATGGTGGCTTGCAATGGTCCCTCTAAGCTGTGCAACTGCGCAATTGTGCACTGCTCCCACACTCTCAGCATACAAGGAAACCTATGCAGCACACTACAAATGAATTAGATCTATAACATTTTTTTTCTGTATCATTTTGCTGTGTAACTCAGTGAGTGACAGGTGTCCAGCCAATCATACAATACGATGCAATTATGTTACGCAGCCAGTCACGCCATTGACAGTACTTGCACACTTGCTCTGCCCATATGAGCTATATAACAATAATAACAGTGTGGCAGAGTTAAGTGACGCTAATGCTAACCCCTTATCATGGCGAAACAAACGGGCAGTGAATGTGATACGTTCACTCACCAAACCAAAGTAAAAAAGAAATACGGTTTGTAGCACCCCTCAAGGAATGAGCACGAGGTTTTTTAACAGGGTTTATTCACTCTTCAACCCGTGAGAACTGGCAGCAAAGAAAACAATAAATAAAACATCAAAATTAACTCTGCACCTTACAATATAATACAATATAATAATAAAGCACACAAACCTAATTGTTAATCTTGCTTCAAATCCCTTCGCTATATACTAAATAAAAACAATAAACAAGTGTTTACATTGTTATTCCCATAAAATTTTATCTGACTTATTCTCATCTTACCGGAGATATTCACATGTCCGCAGCAATGTGTTGACAGCAAGGTGCGCAGTTAATTAGGTTCGGGCGGAACTTTCTATTATACTTTGTTCCACATTGTGATTGACCACTAGATGGCGCAAAGTAAAATATAAAGACAAACGCGAAATTATATATATAAATATTTGGGACCGTTACACGGTTCTTTTAAGATGGAATGGCTATATGCAAATAGAAGAACAAGCGGTGAAACTGGGTGAGATTTTTTTCTTTTTCGAGTAAGAAGGTCTGCTCTGCAAAACATGCAGCGAAGCTAAAGTAGCAAGCGAGTTTTCTGAAGGAAAAATATGGGCTAAATGGAAGTTGGACTACCTCCAGCAACACATTCAGCAGAAAAGTTATTTGAATGCCGTTGGAATTGTACAAAGACTCAAGATGGGAAAAGGGATTGGTACATTATTGCGGGAGAGTGCAAACGACCAGGAGAAAAAGAATGAGCTGTCACACAAAAAAAAATCTGACCCTGAGCAAGTTAAAGTTCTCATTGACAATATTTTACTTGCCATCAAAATGAATGCATCAATGCTGTCAGTTCAATAAATCCACGATCACATGGCAAAGTATGTGAGTATACCAGAAAGCTGGCGAAGGAAAAATGCCTTTGAATTTGTGAACCCAATCAATGAGATAGTGCAGAATGAGACTATGGCTACGTTTACACATAGCCGGTATTTTGAGAAATTAATATTTCCCTCCCTCCGTTTTCCAAAATAACATCGTGCACACAGCATCATTTTTCAAAAAAGTTTTCATTTACCTCAACCCGCATAAATACGCCATCGAGCACTGTCATAACTACACCGAGCCTCTGGGAACACCTGGATTAGATTCAAATCTGTAGCATTTATTTCATTACAGTTGTAAATATTACTCACAAATACCTTGAAAAATGTGCATTAGTGAGCGGGCTTGCCTCTCCACAGATCTGATAAAGAAGTGGTAAAATCACTGACCTCCGAGCCCTGTCTCTGGTCATGGATTTGATCCATCAGCTGTGTGTGCAAATGCAAACACATGAAAAGTGTTTCAGCAAGAAATAGATGAGCTGAAGCGGGGACTGTTGTCCGGCGCCTCCATCTGAGAAGTGCTTTCCCCAGAAAAAAAAAAAAAAAAAAAAAAAAAAACATGCTCAGACGGACCGCTCAGCATATAACGAACCAAACGTGATTCATGCTTCTGTGCGGATACTGCACCACCTCAGAACCAGCCGCAGTCGAGCGCGGAGGACCAGAGCAGCCCGCTCGGACCTGTGGTCCACAGCGCATTCTCGCTTTTCCCACACGGAACCAGTGCACAGATGACAGCACTGAAGCACTCGGACGCAGACCTTTGCGCGCTGGTCTTGCTCGCCCCCGTCTGGAACCAGGACATGGAGGACAAAGCCTCTGGACAATCTGACCAACACTGATCCCCCAGCCCCGTCTTGAGGGGCTGCGCGCTGAGTGCACCCATGTGTTTGGCGCTGCTGCCCGAGCTCAGAGCTTCTGCTGATGATGTGCTGTGAGTTTCGTACAAAGTTCTACATGCTGCTGTTTAATGAGCGCTCCTATGCTCCTAAAAATCCATTTATCTCGGTCCACTCTGAAGAGGGACAAATTGGAGGCCCTAGCAAAGATTCTTGATGAAGATACACTGTCATTCAGCCCTCTGAATGAAGTTTACCCTCTTGTGGGCCACGTTGTGTCACGTCATGCCATTTCATTTTCCGGCCACTAGGAGCATCGCTTTGCGATACTAATTGGCCCTTTGCCAGCCTCTGGCGCTTGGGCCTAATAATTCGAGCAAAAACAATATATCCAAAAACATTGAAACTGCATATATATATGTTATACATTTTTTGAAAGCTCTCAACCTTCCCCATGTCACCATGGGGTCATTGGTGAGTGACGGGCGTGTCTGCACCATCTCATCGCGGTCGCCCATGACCTCCCATTGATTTCCATTCATTTTAGCAGTAGTAAATATGGCTCAGGTCTTGGGCGTGGGTTACTGGGATACTGCTGTTCATGCCGGGGGCAAACAAGGACGAAGTTGCATGTCGTCCTGTCACATTCGGCCATGCGCTCGTCACTCCCCATTCACTCCTCGTAGCGAAAGCAATAGGCCCTATGCACTTTCAGGGCTCGGGCCTAATAATAAAAAAAATAATATTTTTAGCAAAAACAATATATCCGTTAACATTGGAACAGCACATTATACGTTTTTTGAAAGCTCTCAACCTTCCCCACATCACCGTGGGGTCACTGGTGAATGACGGGCACTGATGCGCTCGTCTCGTCGTGGTCGCCCCCTGACCTCCCATTGACTTCCATTAATTTTAGCAGTGATAAATATGGCTCAGGCCTTGGGCGTGGGTTACTGGGATACTGCTGTTGATGCCGGGGGTAACCAAAGACAAAGTTGCATGTCGTCCTCTTGCATTCGCCCATGCACTCGTCGCTCCCCGTTCGCTCCTCGTAGCGAAAGCAATAGGCCCTACGCCCTGTCAGGGCTCGGGCCTAATAAAATAATAATAATTCGAGCAAAAACAATATATCCAAAAACAATGGAACAGCATATTATACGTTTTTTGAAAGCTCACTGATGTGCTCGTAATTCACCATCTTGTCGGGGTCACCCATGACTTCCCATTGACTTCCATTAATTTTATCAGTGGTAAATATGGCCCAGGCCTTGGGTGTGGGTTACTGGAAAACTGCTGTTCATGCCGGGGGCGACTGAGGATGAAGTTGCATGTTGTCCTCTCTTATTCGCCCATGCACTCGTAGCGAAAGTAATAGGCCCTACGCCCTGTCGGGGCTCGGGCCTTATAATCAAGAAACCGACAAAGAACAATAGCCCTTGCCAGTTACTCCGTTACTGGTGAGGGCCAATCATGTGCAAGATGCCCACAGTAGAACATACTATTTATTTATTTATTTATTTGCACTTGTAATATAGCACCTAGCTTGAAAATAGGGCCCAACAAAGGTGAAGTAAGTCCAGTTAAGGTCTTACTATCATATGAAGTCAATTTTGGAAATTAGTAAATGATGGACTGACCTGTAGGGCTGTAGATAGCTAGGCCTTTAGTTGTTGAGTTGATTCATTGGTTAAGTTATAGGTGACCAAAATTTGAATTAGTCGACTAATTTTCTTTAGATTATAACAGTTTATGTACTCAACAGCAGGAAAGGGTGAATTTAAGAGGCCTTTTTACATAGAAGTTTCCTAGTACTTTCTTGTAGTTTTCATATGTAATCGTTTTGAGAGCTTTTGCCATGCCCCATTTTTAATCAACCGGCAGCACATGTCTTTAGTCCAACAAGAATTTATTTTGTTGAATACAGTCCTGCTGATTAGTGTTCAAACATTTCTAAGAGCCTGCATTTGACATATCCATTAGTGAGAATTAAAAGTGTCACAGTAGATTTACATATCTGAGTTTAGCTCAAACCTTACTGACCCTGACTTACGTTGTCCTCTCTGTCTCACAGAAACCACATGGGAGAGGCCCTCTTCTGTTCCCGGGACCCCTAAGACCCCTCAGAGACACAAGAACTCCCTTCCAGCAGGTGCTCTTTTGTCCCTATGTCCCACCTATATCCAGTGTCCTTAGAACACGTACTCAATACCAATACTTAGTGCTGTAGTGGTAGGGTTGCTCACTCTCTCACCCCCCAAAATAGGATACATGTATTTAGCAAAGTTTACACACTGTAGTATTTTGAGATTGGGATCAGTCCTCTTTAGCTTTGATTCAGTCAGTGGCTTGTTATTTAGCAGATTGTACAATCATTACATTAACAACAGAGGCTGTCAGTAAAATGTGGGGCAGCATCAAATTCAGACAAATAGCAATATGTTCCTCCCAAATCGAGATGATTGGCAATCCTATGCATTGGTATTCATAGTTTAAAATTATGTATATTTAGGTTACAGCCCAAAATGATAATTGCAGTTGCCTCTCGGGGTTGCACAAAAAAGTTGATTTAACCAACAGAAAGAAAAAGTGACAGTGAAACAGTGAAACAGACATGGTCAAACACAGAAAGGCAGACTAACGAACATCAACGGGAAACAAGCACATAGAGAACTGTCCCAGAGCTCCCCCATCCTGAGACCTTCCTTCTGCAGGAGCATTTCCAACATACCCAGTGGGAAAAAGAAAATCCTTGAGGAGAGCCACAGGAATTATGCATCACCGTATCTTATAGTGCCAACCAAATAGCTCCACTACTGGGTAATGGCACCACGGCTTTCAGGGTGCAGTCACAGGGCATACACTATTTGAAGAGTAACAGAGCACAACCTTGCATCTAAGAAATCCCTCCCTGGTCTCTGCTACTCCCTCCTCCTCTTCCCCCCCCTGCTCTTCTCTCCTTCTATCTGCTCCTCTGCTTCTCTCGCATGCCAGATGGAGAGGGAAGAGAGGGATGGCACAATAAGAACGATTGATTGATTGAAAAAAACAACAACAACAAAAAAAAACATACTATACTATCTTAATCAAAAATGTTCATGCAGAATATTGGTATCTTTAGACCAATACCCCAGTTTAAAGTTTATGATCTGAGGTTTGTCATTGGTAGGCATGAGGCAGGGACTAAACCAGGACTATACCAGACAGGTCCCATGGGCTCCTCCATGTTTAGTTAGCATGACACTAACATGACAGAGATGTACTGTACTTGGTGCCATTAGCACAAGTGGTTTACATCACAATTATGATTAAGGGTAGGATCAGTCTCCAGGAAATGGATGAAAGCCAAACTAATGTCCTGGGAAAAGCATGTGAACCTGAGTGTGTGTATGTGTTTTTGTGCAGTGAATGGGTTCCACTCAGGAGGCAGCCCTTTGCTTTATCAGCACAACAGTGTGGTCCGGAAGACCAGCACAGAACCACAGGTGAGACTGCACCCTGACTATTCTCACAAGGTACACCTTGAATACTAGGTAGGTAGGTATACTAGGTTCTAGCATATTAAGCCAGTATAAATGTATTGACTGAACAAGCACTGAAACCAGTCAATGACTTTACTGACGTTTATGTGGAGAAAACTATGCCACCAGCTCCTCTATCCTGCCCATGCTCCAACTCTGCAAGGATAATGTTTTGGCCGTGTCAAATGAGGATGTCCAGTTAATAAACTCAATAAAAACTGGAATTCTTGCCAAGCTGGAGGCAAAATATGACAGCGATTCAGTGCACAAGTTGATGCAGAAATGCACCTTCCTTGACCCTCGGTGTCACGGAGAATACGAGAGTGATGCAGAGATCTCTGCCTATTGTCAGGAATCTTCATTCAGGGAGACAACTACCCGCTTCTCTGGTGGAAGTCTGATGGAGCCAGACATTTTCCACTGATGTCAAGGGTTGCCCGATAATGCTTGTGTGTTTGTGCTACAAGCTGTCCATCAAAGTGAGTCTTCAGCACCACAGGTAAAGTTGTGCATCCACTTCGTGCCATGCTCAAGCCAGAAAAAGTGAATATGCTGTTTTTTCTGGCAAAAAACCTTCAATAAATTTGAAGCATATGATATGCTGCACTTTTCAATATTTTTAGGCATGTATAATGCTTGCTATTCTTTTTCTGAATGATATAGGCCACCAGGACTAAACCAGATCTAAACCAGATCTAAACCAGATCTAAACCAGATCTAAACCAGGACTAAACCAGGACTAAACCAGATCTAAACCAGATCTAAACCAGGACTAAACCAGGACTAAACCAGGACTAAACCAGATCTAAACCAGGACTAAACCAGATCTAAACCAGGACTAAACCAGGTCTAAACCAGGACAAAACCAGGATTAAACCAGGATTAAACCAGGACTAATACTGGAATTGAGAGAGAGGGAGAACCCTCAGAGCAGGGTGTCTGCAAAGCGTGATCAGGCCATGACTGACAGGTCTGGTATGCGCGGAGCTCTGCGCCGGTCTTTTTGTCTGCGGTCATCCGACAATTTACGCAGGTCCACCTTTGAGCCCATTCTGACACTCAGTTCTGGTTCAGTTCTGTTTTAGTTCTGGTTTAGTGCGCATGTGTTGTGCCTCCCCAGTGGCCCCCCTCCAGGGGAGGCGGGTCTCACCTATTGAGCTATTCACCTATTACAAAACAATTCTTAATTGGTCACAGTAATACCGTATACTCCGGTAAAATGCTGAGACTGTTTGACGGTATCAAAATTTGGATACTGCCCAACCCTATCTCCTTATCAAATCTAAAATCACTGTGTAAGGTGACGCCAAGGCAGGTGACTGTGGGAGACACATGATCTTTTCAAGGTCCTAACCTGACCAGGGAGCTACCAGATCCAAACGTCACTTAGACAGTCAGTAAGGGATAACAATTAGCATATAAATCTGACAGTCATCGGCATAAAAATTATATGACAAGCCATGACTTTTAAACTGTGAGGAGGTACAATGCAAAGAGAATTGGACCAAAAATCCTGGGGAACTCCACTGTACAGAGGAGCAGAGGACAAGGTGGAATCTCCCAGCCTTAAAGTGAAGGACTGCCCAGACATGTATATCCTAAACCAGTCCAGGGCAGTCTCCTTGACACCCACACAATTTTCAAGATGTTTTAAAAGAGTTGCATGGTTGACTGTGTCAAAAGCAGCAGTCATGTCTAAAAGCACTAAAATTTCAAACTTCACCAGCATCAGTCTTTAAAAACCTTTAAAAGTGCAGATTTAGTGCTGTGAAATTCTTTGTAGCCTGAGTGGAAAGTTCCACAAGTGAATCAGCACTTTTAAAGGTTTTTAATGACTGATACTAAAGTTCCATTTACATCTAAAAAAGTAAAAACACTTTTCTCTAAAATTTTAGCCACAAAAGTGGCTAGTGGCTGGTAATTGTACAAAATTGGAGGGTCAAGCCCAGATTTCTTTATCAGTGGTTCAACAACAGCCATTTTATAGAAGGAGGAGATAATGCCAGAAGATAGACTGATATTGATGATCTCCTAACAAAAAGGCCAATAGTTCCACAAATCTCTTTAAAAAAAAATAAGGTGGGACTGGGTCTGTGGGGGCAGGACACTGGTTTTAATTTATCAATTATCCCTGTGAACACAGACAGTGACACAGGCTCAAACTGACTAAAAACAGCAGAGCACTCTGCAGTTAGGCCAATGTTAAAAGCAGACACATTGTTTTAAAAAATAATGCAGGGTTTGTTGATTTTCTCTACAATCAGGTCTGAGAAATATTTCATTTTTTCACTCTTAACAGTGCTTTGATACTGTCTCCAGCAATCTTTAAGAATTTATTAAAATACTTCCAAGTTACCACTTTTCTATCTGCGCTCTGCTATACAGCACTCAGCCTTGCTGCACGTGTTGCGTCATTGAGCCATGGTTCTTGTCTGGGTTTGAGGTACATGGTTTTCAGTGGATAATGTTAGCCAGTATATATCAGCAGGTCGAAATGTGAAGTTAGCAGTGGTCTCTGGCTTTATAAAACGTCTCTGATACACAGGACCAAGCAGACTCACATCACTGTGCATCTTAGGGGCATGTCTGGAAGAACATATCTGAGGAGCATGTCTGGAGCAGAAGGTTGAAGCCTTGATTTGTATTTGTAGTTATTTATTAAGGGACAATGCATATTAAAGTTGAGATAATACAAAAGAAAAACATGTTCTTGTAAATATGCAGGATTGTAGCCAAAGCTAATTTCCATGCTTAATGCTGATGGTTTCTTCTGTCCACAGACGCCTGTGTCCACATCCCCCACCAGGAAACAGTACAAGGAGACCACAGTCACGGTGAGGAGCATGGACTTACATTTTTGTTTGAAATCAAAAGGTACAGGGATTTTTGGGGGGCAAGACAAGTGAAGTGAATGAAAAATATATTAATTTGTAACTCTAATTATAGTTTTTGTAAACAGAAGAATTTACTTTATTTAGTCAACTAAAATAAGGCAAAGCACTAAACATCATTATTTGATTACAGTTATGTATATATGTGTTTATTAATTTGATGGTCATTCAATAGCAATCCAGTTCGACGAACCTGAGGCAAAGTTTGCAGCGGTTCACAGCAGGGTGCAAAAATACATCTCCATCTCTCTGTTTGCTCTGTGTTAGACACAAACATAATTTATGATATTAACAATATTATTGTATTTTGTGACCTTTTGTTGATTAATTTCTTGTTGTATAGAAATATTTTAAAGGGCCCATATTATGCTATTTTGTGATCTGTTCTATTTTAGTTTTCTTATCACAAACAGACCTGGAATTTTGTTTTGTCTCACTCACACATGTTTACACGCAAACCCAGCATATTTAGACTGAGTTCTTTCAAACAGAAACCAGCCCACTACCTTGTGATGTCATGTAATAAAACAGGAAGTGCTCCGCTGTGTTTTTAAACTCCTTACACCTTTACTAGCATAATTTGGATAATTTCAGATCTGGAATTACCAAGCTCTATTAAACAAAAGGTAAAAGGTAGCAGTAAAACACTGCTTCATGACATCACAAGATGGAAGAGAGTTTTTTCAGCTTTATAGATGTAGACAACATGTGCAAATGAAACAAAACACAACCCCAAGTATGTTTTTGATGTGGTAGCATTATAATTTAAAGTTCACAGGAATCTTTTTTTTTGTGTAATATAGGATCTTTACCTAATTAATGTAATTAATTCAAATGAAATAATATAACAGAAAAAGTTTCCTTTTTTTCATCAGTAGCTCTGGAAATGGAGACTGGTTTCCAGTCTACTCTAATCTTGGTTTAGTTCTAGTCATATCCTACTTTAGGTTTATTCCTTGTTTAGACCTTGTTTAGTCCTGGTGCATTTCTGGTTTAGTCCTGAATTCTGGTTTAAATGTTGTTTACTAAAATGTATATTATATATTTTTGTTATTGTTCCTGAAGTCAATAACTGAAGAGATACTATGATTCTAACTCTAACATATGAGAGTCCTAACTATACTTAAGGTTACTGTGTGTTTGTGTGTTTGTGTGTGTCAGGTGAACTGTGTGACCTTCCCTCTCCCAGCCTTCATGTCTGAGCAGCAGCTGCTCAAGCCAAACGAGTGGAGCTACTGCGACTACTTCTGGGTAAGGCCTACTCAGATCCATGCACTAGGCATCCAACAGCTACTCTGTTATTAATTTCATTGTAAACAAAACTAGGAAAAGACATTTTCTCGCTTCTATTTTTGTCCCACGCATTTCATGTTTAGCTCAGTCATTAGATAAGGGCCCACATTACTATTTTCTGAGCTACGTTATGTTTCCTCATTAGAAACATGCCTGGAGTTGTTGTTTTGTTTCATTTACACATGTTAAACACACACACCCTGTATATTTAGTGTGTGTTCTTCAAAATGACTCACTCTGTTCTATCTTGTGATGCCATGTAGTAATACAGGAAGTGCTCCACTGCTCCACTTTATTGCCAAAAGTACAAAATAACAGGCAATTTACATTAGAACAAACAATAACAAGTGTCGAGATTGGGCTCTTAACTCCAATTATATGTAAATAAATACAGTAGTCAGGTAGGGCTTAAAAAAAAACAAAAAACACACAACTCAGTCAAATAAAGATGGTACACGCGACCATCGCCTTAGAAAAATATCCATTTTGAGTTGAAGCTGGGCAGTCAGACACTCCATCTGATAAACGTACTTTAATTTTTGTGTCCATTCAGCAATTGTTGGTGGGACTGGCTTGAGCCAGTTCAGGGTCACTATTTTTCTTGCCACTAGTAAAAGTACATGTAAAATGTACTGTTGGTCCTCAGTGAGTGAGTTGGGATATAAGTCAAGCAAAAACAGTAGAGGGTCCATTGGAATATCTGATCTAATTGTATCTTCAGTCTTCTTTTTGATACATTCCCAAAATGTTCTTATCTTTGGGCAATCCCAAAAGACATGGGTGTGGTCTCCAACCATACCACATTCTCTCCAGCACTTCTTAATCATGAATGTCCTTAGCGGAGTTCTGAAAAATCAGATTTTTGTTTTCCAGTCAAACTCTCTCCAGTTTTGACTTCCAATTCCTTTGTGACAGTATAAACACATATCTTCCCATTGCTTATCTGTTATAATCACATTCATCTCACGTTCCCATTGATGTTTAACATGAAGCGTATTATCTGATATGTTTTCAGATAGGTTTTTATACATTAAAAATATACTTTTTTTCATTCTGGTTTCTTTTTCAAACAGTTTAACTAAATACTTTCTATATTAGTGGGCTCTCTCATTACAACATCCCACTGTGGATGTTTTGTCAAATAATCTGTAATCTGCAAATACCTATACATGTCATTCTGGGGCAAGGAAAATTGCTCTTGTAATTGTGAGAAAGATTTAAATGTTTGTCCACTAAATAAATGGTGAATAACCACCAGACCACTGTCTGCCCACCTTTTAAAGACACCATCTGACATAGACGGTAAAAATTCTATATTACCTGCAATGGGCATAGCCCTAGAAAGCCCTGGCACATCTCTAGTTTGTTTTTGAATTACATTTCATACCCTAAGTGTTTGCAAAATCCAAGGATTATCAATTTTACCCTTTTTCAATAAATTCTGGCCCATAAATGGAAGAGAATGAATTAATAATCCCGGTACAGAGTTCTGTTCTATAGAAATCCATAAAATCTGAGGATCATTGACCACCCAAGCTGACAATATTCGAAGTTGAGATGCCCAATAATAAAGTTTTAATTCAGGGAGTCCAAGCCCTCCTTTTTCTTTCTTTGTCATTAGTATTTTCGGTTGTGTCCTTGGTTTTCGATTTTGCCAGATAAATTTGGATATACATTTTTCAAGTGTTTTAAATGTAGATTGTGGTACTGAAGTAGGGAGAGATTGAAATAAGAATATGAATTTTGGTAGAATATTCATTCTAATAGATTCTATTCTGCCCAGGAATGATAGGGGTAGAGCATCCCATTTGTTTAAGTCTTTTTTAACATCGTTAATAAATTTTTCATAATTATAAGTAAATAGTTGTGAAATTTTAGGTGTGAGATTGATTCCAAGGTACCGAAATCCCCTGGTTGATTTTTTAAAATGTAACCAGATCATTTAATTCAGTAGGCCATTCACCAACAACCATCACTGCCTCTGATTTACTCGTATTAATTTTATATCCAGATACAGAATTGTATTCATTAAGTCCCTGTAACAGAGGTGGGATGGACGTAAGCGGGTTTTCCAGAAATAATAAAATGTAATCAGCAAAAAGTGCTAATTTGTGTTGTATGTTAGCCTCATCTCTTATACCCTGTATACGAGGATCCATCCTAATGAGCTCTGCCAGTGGCTCGATGCTAAGAGCAAACAGACATGGAGAAAGCCCATCGTCCCGCGCCCTAGAGGGAAGAAGTTTGAGCAGTGGCCGTTGACTCGAACTCTGGATTTGGGATCTCTGTAGAAAATTTTTAGCCATTTAATAAATTTTTCATTAAAACCCATATGTTTAAGCGAGTGCTCAAAAAATGACCAGTCCACCCGGTCAAATGCTTTCTCGGCATCTAAGCCAAGAAGCATTGCTTCTCATTGCTATCACTTGTAAGTTTAAGGCTCTCATAACATTGTCACATCCTTGTCTATTAGCAATGGAACCTGTCTGATCAGGCTTTATAAGAGTCTTAATACATTTCTGGATTCTATTTGTAATAATTGAGGTAAGAATTTTCATATCTACACCCAGGAGGCTTATTGGGCGGTAAGAGGCGCACAACGTTGGGTCCTTATTCTCTTTTGGTATTACACTAATCACTGCCTCTGACCATGACCCTGGTGGGTCTCCCTCAGCCAAGGTGTAATTATATACTTTACTTAACACGGGTACCAAAACACCGACAAAAGCTTTATAATACAGTATTCCCCTGATAGCCCATCTACCCCCGGTGATTTGCCATTTTTTAATTTAAGAATGCCTTTCCTTATTTCCTCCTGTGTTATAGGACATGTTATTGAGTCAGCTTCTTCTGTGGTTAGTTTTGCTAATTTGATAGATTTTAGAAACGTCTATCCTATCTTCCTTCCCTGGCAGGTGTTCTTTCTCATACAGTTTTTGGTAATAGTCAGCAAATGCTTTAGCAATATCTTTTGGTTGTGTGAGCATCTGATTTGTCTGATTACATTTTATCTTGCTTACTATTCTGTTAGATTGAGCTTTACGTAACTGGAAGGACAGCAGCCGACTGGCTTTATTTCCTTGTTCATAATATTTTCTATTTAAAAATCTTAGAGCTCCCTCAGCTTTATAAGTTAATAGATCATCTAATTTTTTTCTGTTTTCTGTCAGTGATGCCAACACTCTTTTTTCACGAGTACGTTGGAATATTAACTCCATTTCTTTAATTCGATTTTCTAGCTCGTTCTGTTCAGAGAGCCTCTGCTTTTTTAGTTTTGCAGAGATGGCTATAATTTTGCCCCTCATGACAGCTTTACTCCCTTCCCATAGTATTGAAGGTGAGATTGAACCTGTGTCATTAATTTCAAAATATTCTGTTAGAGCTGTCTGGAAGTCCCGTTTAATGTTTACATCATTTAGCAGTGACACGTTAAGTCTCCAATATTTAAACTGGTAGGTCCTAATTTTAATTTTAACAAAACCGGTGAATGGTCTGAAATTGATACTGGTTCAATTTTACATTCACTGGCCCTAAAGGAGTCACTGTTTGAGATTAAAAACATATCCAATCGAGAGTAGCTACCATGTACCTGTGATCTAAAAGTAAAATCCTTCTCTCTCGGATGCAAATGACACCAAATATCTGTTAGGCCTAGTTGTACCAAGAGTAGTACCAAGAGTAGTTGTCTTTTTAGATATTGGGCCCCTTCCCACAGGCAGTTTATCTAGATATGGTTTTAACACACAGTTAAAGTCCCCCCCAATCAAAATAATTCCCTTTGCATTGTTTGCCAACTCTGACGCTATACCCTTAAAGAATTTGGGACAGTCTTCATTCAGGGCATAAAGATTGAGCAGTGTAATCTCTGTGCCTGCTATCTCACCAATCACCATTACATACTGACCATCTTTATCTGTTAAGGTTTCTCTATGAGTAAAATTAACATTTTTATTAATAAGAATGGCCACACCTCTTTATCCTGCCAAAACATGAACCATATACCTGATCTACCCATTCTCTCTTAAGTTTAAGATGCTCACTTTCAGATAGATGTGTTTCTTGAATCATTGCAATAGAACATTGTAATTTTTTCAGTTGAGTAAGTATTTTTTTTTCCTTTTTATTGGAGTGCTTATGCCCTTAACATTGTAGCTGATACAGTTTAGATTACTCATGTAATAAACATTAACTGTTGTATTGTTTCAACTTCCCTGTTCTGTATATGACTGAAAAATAAAGTAACAACCTTACTTGTCTGTATAAAGTAGCATAATGCAGTAACCCAGAGCCAATCCCAACACTGAACGAACATGAAATAAAATAGAACATAACAAATGGCAAAACCTTCCATATAACCCATTGGAACTGAAATACACTTTTACAAGTTACCGGTCCAATGGTCCCACCGGAGGGTGGTGTTTTCTCCTCCGTGGTGATCACAACCTGTGCGTGGCTGCATGCATCCATCTCGCAGAGCGGGTGCTGCAGCTCCGAATGCGGCTTAATTGCTCGAAATAGTCTTCAGATTCCGTCCGATATCTTTACGCATCATGTTGTTAATCTAACATTATTAATGTTGGAATCAAACCACACAGTAGGCATAATCAACATTCAGCTGTTAAGCATCACTGTCAAAGAACGCATGAGCATCCGCGTTGGACAGTTTAGCCATGTTTCTCGTGCGTCCCGCCGTGCTCCATCGGTAGCGGGCGAGCTCGTGTTCCATCTTCTCTCTCTCGTCCAAGCGTACCTGAATTCCAAGCTCCCGCAGCGTCAGCACAGCCTCCGTAAGCGATGAGTAGGTCTTATCTCCTCCCTCTGACTTGAGTTGCGCTGGATAGATGCATTTGGCCCTAATGTTTTTCTGCTTCAGCTGTTTAATAGCTTCTCGTACCTGAGAATGCCTCTTCTGAAGTTCTGGGGAATAGTCATGGTCAAAGAAAATAGGGCTGCCTTTGCAGAGCACCTGTCTCTGGCTCCAAGCCTGTCTCAATATTGAGTCTTTAACTGAGTAGTCCACAAACTTTACGATAATGGAATAGGGTGCAGAGTGGCTCTTAGGTTTAGCCGTGACCGCTCTATGGGCTCGCTCGATTTGCATGTTAGCTTCTGGGGGTAGCTGTAGCGTTGTTTGAATAAGATCTTTCACAAAGGCTATCACGTCCTTGCCTTCACTGTCCTCGGGCACTCGATATATTCTTAAATTGTTGCGTCATGAGCGATTTTGCAGGTCCTGGTATCTGGCCGTCAAATCAATCTCCCTGTGCAGCAAATATCTGATCTCTCTCTCGTGTCTCTACGCCGTATCTTCAGCGTTGCTAACACAGTCCTTTACTTCTGCGGTTCTCTTTTCAAGTTTTTTCATGTCATTTTTCATTTCTTGCCAGTGCATGGTTTGGGCATGTCCTTCCTTGTTTTCTTGCCGTAGTTTCTCCAGTTCGGCTAGTATTCGGCTTTCTGGGTTAGCTGGGCTAACTTCAGCGTTGCTGGACATGGCCTGCGGCAAGGTTAACTGCTTTAAGCTGTCGTTTCTTTCTTGCATTACTTCTTGTTTGTTGGTATTTTTGCTTCTTAAAGATGTTGCCATGTTGAGTTTCGTTGTTATGCCGGAAATAAAGGTTTTGTTAGGTTATTTACCTTTATTGGACGGAGCTCTTCTCTTATGCTGTTGCCTTTGGCATGGCATCACCAGAAGTCTCCACTTTGTTTTTAAACTCCATAAATTCCATAGATGTGTTTAGATAAATGATTTTGCCACATATACAGGTCAAACAACAAAAGAGTTTCCGGTGGGATGGGGACAGTTGTCTCTGCTCAGCTTTACATTTGTTAATGACTTGTCTGGATCATGGCTACCCATGATCCAGACAAGTCATTAACAAATAACAAACAAATCACATTCATTTACACAAAGGCAGGCTATGACAGAAATATTTTCTTCATAACATAGATGTCCATAAATTTCCATCACATGAGCAAATATGTTTGAGTTGCTGTCCCCCAGTCGGATATTTCTGAGGTCTCCCAGTGAGGTAATTTGTAATCCAGCTAATCAGAGAAGTAATTTGTTTAGTTTTTTCAGCAGCAGAGGTTGGGAAAATAAATAAATAAAAATTAAATCATCATTAGGCCTGATCCTGAAATAATCAAAATTATTATTATTATTATTAGGCCCAAGCGCCAGAGGCTGGCGAAGGGCCTATTAGTATCGCAAAGCGATGCTCCTAGTGGCCGAAAAATGAAATGGCGCGACGTAACTGGCCCATAGTGACCAGGGACCCTCGCCATGATGTAGCAATGCACCAGAGGTTTCCGAAAATGTATAATTTGTTGGCCAAAAAAAGCGGAACATTGTTCTCGTATCAGAATATTCTTCTTCTTTCTTTTTTATTATTATTTTTTTCCTAACCAACTCACCCATTTTTCACCCACTAAACAATGACGAAAAGTCCTGAAATTTTGCCATCTGGTAAAACTCGCGCTTCCCTACGTTTTGGCTATTTCCATTTTCCAAAAATAAATAAAATGGCTCGTCAGCGCCACCAAACGACTCAAAAATGCATTAGGGAATACGAATGACACAAAAAAAAACTTGCACGTACAATCATGAAATTTGACACAGAAGTCGATCATGTCAAGACAAGGAAAAAATATTATTACGCCAACACCGTGTGCTCCACTAGGGGGCAGCAATATTGGCTTAAAATTTGCTAAGCTGTTACGAACTCCTCCGAGGGCGTTCACCCGAACGAGCTCAAATTTGGTCCACATCATCTCAAGACGTAGAACAATAAAAGTTATCCAAATTGTTCACACACGTCTTACGATCTCTGAGCAGTGAAGCAACAAAAAATGCACACCATTTTGGACATTTACAAATTGCTCCCATTTGCTCAAAACGAACTCCGATTTCAATGAAATTTGAAAACATTTGTTAAACTCTCTCTGCCCTGAAGCTACTTCATGTGAAAATTATGAATTTGGTGCATTAGCGCCCCCTATAGATTGAAACAAAATTTAATATGGAAAAAATCATTTGTTCCCAAATAGTTGCTCAAAAATTTCTGAAATTTTGCACAAAATTCCCTTTTGGCATCCTGATCCAAAAGTCAATGACACCCATGTCATATTTTTTATGGCGTTGCCATAGCGATGGCATAAACTCTCCATCTTATTCCATTGGTAAAATTGACAAATTCTGGCACAAACTTGGCGATTTCACTCAAATTTTAATCGTGTACATTACTACTGCTAAAATGAATGGAAGTCAATGGGAGGTCATGGGCGACACCGACGAGATGGTGAATGACGAGCGAGTCAGTGGTGGTCACTAGGCACCAGTCACTGACATGAGTGCCATTGAGTGTTTGATAAGGGGAGAGTGCTTTGCGCTCTGTTTTCACGGGCACTGCGCGCACACCTTCCCACAGTGCTTTGCACTCCTGAACAATAACAATAGGCCCTACATCACCCATGGTGCTCGGGCCTAATAAAAATAAAATAAAATAATAATAATTCGAGCAAAAACAATATATCCAAAAACATTAGAACAACATATTATACGTTGTTTGAAAGCTCTCGACCTTCCCCTTGTCACCGTGGGGTCATTGGTGAGTGACGGGCACTGATGCGCTCGTCTCATCGGGGTCGCCCCCTGACCTCCCATTGAGTTCCACTCATTTTAGCAGTAGTAAATATGGCTCAGGTCTTGGGTGTGGGTTACTGGGATACTGCTGTTCATGCCGGGGGCAACTGAGGACAAGATTGCACCACATCATCTCGCATTTGGCCATGTGCTCGTCAATCTCCATTTGCTCCTCGTAGCGAAAGCAATAGGTCCTATGCCCTGTCGGGGGCTCGGGCCTAAAAAAAAAAAAAAATAATAATAATAATAATAATTCGAGCAAAAACAATATATCCAAAAACATTAGAACAGCATATTATACGTTGTTTGAAAGCTCTCGACCTTCCCCACGTCACTGTGGGGTCATTGGTGAGTCATGGGCGCGTCTGCACCATCTCATCGGGGTCGCCCCCTGATCTCCTATTGATTTCCATTCATTTTAGCAGTAGCAAATATGGCTCAGGCCTTGGGTGTGGGTTACTGGGATACTGCTGTTCGTGCTGGGGGTGACCGAGGACAAAGTTGCTTGTCGTCCTGTCGTATTCGCCCATGCGCTCGTCGCTCCCCATTCACTCTTTGTAGCGAAAGCAATAGGCCCTACGCCCTGTCGGGGCCTAATAATATTCTGAAACGAAAACAATGTTCCACTTTTTTTGGCCAACAAACTATACATTTTCGGAAACCTCTGGCACATTGCTACATCATGGCGAGGGTCCCTGGTCACTACAGGGGAGTCACATCGTGCCATTTCATTTTTCGGCCACTAGGAGCATCGCTTTGCGATACTAATAGGCCCTTCGCCAGCCTCTGGCGCTTGGGTCTAATAATAATAATAATTTTGATTATTTCAGGAATTTCTAATCTCTACTAAACAAAAGGAAACTGATAACTTGAAAACCACCACTTACTGACATCACAAGCTGCGGAGCAATTTATCACATTCACAAATTATATGAGATGTTGTGTCCAACAGTTACTCTTATAGTTACTCTTACTGGAGTCAAATACCTTTTAATATTATACTTGAGTAATTTCTTGGACCACTAATTTGTGCAGTACATAAATATACTTACTAATATACTTTACGTGTGTTTCAGGCGGACAGGAGAGATGCCCAGGGGAACAGCACCCTCACAGGCTTTGAGGTGTTACTGCACAAACAGCTGAAGGGAAAGCAGATGCAGAAGGAGATGGCCGATTTCATCAGAGAGAGGTGTCCCCACTTACTGTACTACTGGAATTATGTTATTTACTGGTAGATATACACCAGGTCCCCCTCCTTGAGCTGCCACCTTAACATGGTGGAGGGGTCTGAGTGCCTGAATGATCCTGGGAGCTATGTCGTTAGGGGCTTCATGCCCCTGGTAGGGTCACCAAAGGCAAACAGGTTCAGGGGGATGAGTCAAACTAAGAGCAGTTCAGAAGCATTTATGATGACTAATAGAACAAGGCAAGTTACATCGCCCAGATTGCTCAACATTGAGTGTCTGGTGGCTGAAGGAGCAGCGTGGGGCTGTCCTCCCATGGACCCACCACCCGCAGGAGGATCAATAAGGGGGTGGTGCAGAGAGATCTGAGCAGCGGTCAAAGGCAGGGGCTTCGATGACCGGATCTTTGAACTTGGAAACTGGCTCTGTGGACATTTACCTTGCTGGGGTGGAAGGAGCCCAAACTTGTGCAGGAAGTTGAGCGTTGGTCTCACCCCCACGCACATAAATGAGTTATTGCTTATCTTTTTCTGCCAAAAGTGTGGTTGTAGGTGTTGTAGTCATTTTTCTTATATATTCTTTGTGTTAATAAGTGCTATGCATCACTAGACATCCTTGAGCACCTTTTAGCCCCCAATTTGCACCTGCCTGGTTCTCTGACCAGCCGCAGACTTGGACAAGAGTCTGACAGGTTTCAGGGCAAAAAAACATTTTAATTGGTTTGTTTAGGGCATTTGGAGTTATCTGAGCTTGTCAACATAGTGAGTTTAATTTTTAAAAAGCCTGTTTCTATACTTCTCCATTCTTAGCTTGGCTTTTCACAGTTTTGGCTTCAGCAGAACTCAGGACTAAATATATCTAAGCTCAAGGGAGTGCCATCAAAAGTGGGCAGAGGAGCCAAAAGAGTGCTGTTTATATGACTCAAGTTAAAATGCAAAGTAGTTGTCCAAGAAATTAAGATTAAGATTAAATATTTGCATAAAACAGAAGCATGAACTGATGGACTGTTTTTATAGGAAAATGACTCATGGGGTATTCAGTTAAAGTTTGAGGAGTTTTGCTTGAGAAGAGAAAATCTTCTCAAGCAGAGGTCTGGGACATCATAATGTCTAACTTGTGTTATGATTGTGATACAGAAGTAGCCTCGTTTTATCATTGTCTGAATGTATGAACAATAGACAAATCAACGAATATACACATTAAAAACATTTCAGAAAAATCTATTGTTAACACTGAAACACACAGCAGGCCTACATTAGATATAGGGCTGCAGTTTAAAATGAATTAGAGAAAATAAATAAAATGGCTAAATTCTGAAAATTTGTTAAATTTAATGTAAAAATTTATTCAGTTTATTCAACTTATAAAATGAACTGCATTTAGCCTAGTGTGAGAAATGCTACAGTCGGACTAGATCCAAGCCAGAGTCCTGAACCAGTGGGAGCAGCTCCAGTTCAGGCCGGGCTCAGATGAGTTGGTGCATGGAGTGGTGTTAGGTGCCTCGGCCTGAGAAGCGCTTTCTCCAGGAAGAACCAAGTGTGCGGATGAACCGCTCAGAACAAAATATAACGAACCAAAAGGGATTCACGCTTCTGTTCGGATGCTGCACCACCTCAGAACCAATCCCAGTACTTGAGCACAGAGCACAGGAGCAGCCCAACCAGACCTGTAGTCCACAGTGCATTCTCGCTTTCACCGCACGGAACCAGCGCACAGAGAACGGCAGGAAACAGCTCAGACCCAGTCCATTGTGCACTGTTCTTGCTTACCCCCGTCTGGAACCAGGACATGAAGGATGGAGCCTCCGGACATATCTGACCAACACACTCAGAGGACGGCACAAGACCAAGGACCGAACCCTCAATCGCGTCCTGAGGAGCTGTGTGCTAGGGTGAGTGCTTCCATATCTTTAGCGCTATTGCTGCTGCTGTTAACCAAACTCAGTGCTTCTGCTCCAGGCTGATGTGCGGTGAGTCGCGTTCAAAGTTCTAAATGCTGCTGTTTTATGAATTTATGGTGATAACTTGAGATGAGGACGGTCCGCAGTTTTAATGGGGAACATCGATACCTTTCACAGTTGGAGGAACGGGGAACACTGAGCTGACCCTGTTCAGGTCCTTATGGGATGGCATCTGGGTCCGGACTCGAACTGTGGTCAGTCAGTTAGTGACTCCTGAACTATATCATATCTGAATATAAGGTACAAGAAAAGCAATATTGTCACTAACTCTAAGCTTTTGGTAAAAAGTATTAATACTAATACTATATAATGGTATTTGTTTATTATACCACATGGTCTTACATAAGTTGTGATAAAACTCGAGGTGAAACGCTTCCAGAAAGGTCCAAATTTATCATATTTTTCAGTTTCAAAACCTGCATATCTAGTGTCGGTAGTAGTTTTAGTATTGATTAATGTCTGATTTTTGATCTTTTTGGCTACACTGGAGCTGGGTCACCTCTCCACAGATGTACAACTTGGTCTGGTGGTGTTGTTTACATGGAAATTACTAAGTTAGATTCTGTACTGCAGAAAATTCTAAGCAAAGTGAAATCTCCATGGCAAGCGCAGCAGACCCTCCAATGGAAAAGTTACATAGTGCCCCTTTAAAGAAATTCCAAATCAGGTCTAACCGGAGCAAAGTAAGTTAATTAGAGCTGCCAGTTGTAGGTTCACGCTAATAGAACCTCCATTTGGACTTGTCTTCTCCAGTGATTACATTTGGTTGAGTAAATTTTTAAAGAAATTGTACTTTTCAGAGTACTTTCAAGTAATGCTTTTATACCATTTGAAGTAATTATTGAGATAAATGTACAGTTACTTGGGTAAACGTTTTGGTCCCTCTTACAAGTGACAAAAGCTTTCTGTTGACAATATGAAACAATATGAACATTTGTGTTTCTTGCAGCACTCCTTCAGAGATCTAATTTTTGTGTCTATCCTTCGAAAATACCAGATTTTGTGCATTATATGGGCATATGTTTTGTCTTTGAAATGACATTAATTTCTAATTATAAATCAGATGTTACATCCCAACGGTTACTCTTGAAGGTAATCTCACTTATTATTTTTCCCAAACACGTTTTTGCTCTTATTTGAGAAATTTCTTGGACCACTATTTTGTACTTTTACTTGAGTAATATTTTTTTTGAAGTAATGGTACTCTTATTTGAGTAAATTTTTTGGCTTCTCTACCCACCATCTTCTCAGAAGATCCTGCTTCTATAAAAGTGCACTACAGGAAGTGAAACAGCTATGGAGCAATATCAAACATTTGTGTGTGTTTATCCAATTGTCACATAACACAGCAGGTCACCATGGAAACCACAGCATTAAACCACAATACTTCCTGTTTGGGCTTATTCATCTGCATCACCGCGTTGCCCAACACAGGAAGTGCGGATGGACTAGTTCTGTCAAAAAAATGTGCTAATTGTGCTAACTGTGCTGTGTGTATCAGGATAAAGATAGAAGAGGAGTACGCCAAGAGCCTGTCACGCCTATCGCAGAACTCCCTGGCTGCGCAGGAGGAGGGGTGAGTGCCTCCACATCACGGTATCTCAATCACCAGAACACAAAGTGCATATGACAGGTTAAGACTACTTATTTAGTAAATATATGTTCTTATATTTAAATGTCCCATATTATGTGATAATGTTGTTTTCTCATCAGAACATACCTAAAATAGTGTTTTACACATAAACAAACCCTGCATATTTAAGATGAGCTCTTTTCTCAAACTGAAAACACTCTTGCCTTGGAAATTGTCTGTAAAATAATACCAAAACATACAAGAAGACTGACGTTTGCACCAGTAACAAACGGTCCCACTTCTGATGGACAGAATTTCTCCCAGCAGTGACAACACTTAAATACTGTTCTGCAATCCAAGCCCTTCCCCAAGAACAGTTTGCTTTTAGGTCAGTCTGGCCATTTGGCTTTCTTAGCTCAGAAATGTCACACCTTACCTTACATTAACATAGATCAAGGCATAGGTCAAGATGATCAAACACTTAACATGTAAAATAAACAGCAGACGCAATTGGAGTTGCAATGGCAAACCCAAAGGTACCTATAACCTTCCAGTCAGAGAAAGGATTAGACAAAGAATAGTGTGGCTTTTAACACTTCTTAGAGTGTATCTTGGACAACAAAAATAACAAAACCCAATACTCAAATTTCCACCTCAACTCTGTATCACCTTGTGTAGTCATGTGGTAATACAGGAAGTGCTCAAATGTGTTTCTCCATACAACTTCACTAGAATCATTTGGATGATTTCAGCCCTACAATTGCCAATCTATACCTAATTAAAGGTTAAAAAAAAAAAAAAAGGTGTTAACTTGAAAACTTCCCCTACCCCTTATCCCATGCTGCCCTTGTGTGTGTCTCATTGAACACGGTGGCACCCAAAACTAGCCCTGAGAATACAGAACTCATGTCAAAAAAGGACAACTGGCTCCGTTACATAGAGATACTTCAGTTTTAAGGCGTTGGAGGAATAGCAGATATGTGTCTACTGCTGTAAATGCTGAAAATTAGTGCCAACCAAAGCTACTAGCACCAATTACCTTTTCCACCATTTACAGACAAGGCCATCAGCAGCATATCCTCTGTCACAGAAGGCGTTTTCAGGTCGACAGGGAACCATGCCGGTTCCGGTTCCCGCACCTAATCTTGAACTGACACACGTGTTCACGCTGGAAATCAGAAAGTTCGGGAACCAAAAAGTTGGTTCCCAACAGGAACCAAGTTTTACTTGTTTTTTCTAAGCGAACCATGACGACACAGAAGACGTCAGCACGTTCATCCGGGTCACACGCTGTAAAATAAAACTTTTAATTTAATACGTGATAGTTTCAATTGCTCTTTGTTTAAGTCTACATAAACTATTACCGTACAGTACCATTCGTTTTGCATGTATCCGTATCTTTATGTGCTTGGCGCACATAAAGAATAACTTAACTTAACTTACTATAAGTACAAATGCTCGTTGGTGTCAATGATGCAATCCATGATTGTTATTTTCCTCTCTGTGACATCCGTTTTCATATGGCCTTGTTTTTATTTGGTGATAAATCCACAACCTCTGTCAATGACGCATTATGGGTTCCCGTAAATGGTATGAACGCGGGTTGTTCACCAGTGAGCACTTTGGTTCCCAGTGGAACTGGTGCGGGCACCGGCACCGATCTGACCTGCCTGGAAACAGCTAGTGAGAACCAAAGATGCATGGAGAGAACACTCATATTCCACTGAGTCGTGTCCTTTAGTCTGACAGAAGCTAAACCCCGTCAGCGGCACAAGGATCAGGCTGTTTTTAGTGCTTTATAGTTTATGCAAATAAGCCATGTGGTTTTAAGATTCATTTCTATAAAACATAAACAAATGTTTGCAAAGCTGCATTAAACACATTATAATTTGAAACGGGCTGAGGTGGCTCTATAGTAATGCTTTATACATTGTAAAGTTTAGTAATGTGTTTATTTATGTAGAAGATTTAATAAGATAAGATTAATAATCTGCTGCAGTGTAACTTGTACAACGGTCAGTTTGGTCTGCGCACTAGATTGTGGGAGACCTCGTAGCTCCTTACCGCTGGCTAGGAACATGGATCTATTACAAAAAGGAACCTCCCAAGCTTCCAGTGCTTAAGGAGGTCATGCTTATGGTTATCATATGGTTAACAGAGTTAATGCAAAGATGAGTTTGAGTTGAGTTGAGTTGTTTTAATTTTGAATGAACTTTATTTATAGTTAAATTATTATTTTTGTATACAGGGATGTTCTTTTTCTTCTTAAGGTCACAGAAGCACTTTGTTCCTAAATGAACTGCCTCTTTGCACACACATTGTGGAATTTGGCATATTTGTTTTTGCAGTAGTTTTTGGTTATTTTTCCTGTACAGATATCGAGATATATATTGTACATCAAGATATAGCAAAATATATCGAGATATATTTTTTGCTCCATCTCGCCCAGGCCTATTTGACACCCAGTGTTTCCTGCAGCACTTTATAATTAAGGAAGCCTCTTTGACAACAAGGTTGCCCCCGCCTTGACTACGTCTCTCTGAACCATATGAATCCTCACAAAACTACAGTCATTGCATGGAATCTCCGTGCACCCCCACGCCTCACTTTTTCTCCGTGGATGGAATCTCCGCGCACCCACCCGCGTGGGAAACACTGACTATACACTATATTTTTTACTCTTTATTATATGATATTGTGATGAGGGAAATACTGTTGTCTAAATAATTCTCCTTGTGGATCAAAAAAGTTTGCCTAAGTCTAATTGTTCTGCTTTCTATTTTCATGGAATTATGCAGGTGATGTGCCTCATCCAGAAATGTACAGAAATGTACACTGTGTTGCTTTAAGATTTTATAAGATTTCTAGTATTTACAAATCTTTATTAAAAATTTCTGAACATTTAGTTGAATTGTTCAGTTCTATGAGAAATATCCCAAAGGAAAATCAATTTATTATTTTGATGCCCCAGAATTTGCCATATTACAACACAAACCTGCAAATGAACAATATTAACTTTATATGCCCTCATATCCATTAAATATTAGAACTATAAAATAACATGACATCATTTGAAATTCTGCAATAGTCCAAACATACATTGTCCAACCACACCACATCATGCATGCTACCTCACACCACTGAATTATGAAACAAGTAATTTGTCCTACGTCTGTATCAGTTAAAGTGTCCATAGCAAGCTGGACTACAAATTTTACCAAAACACACTAAGATCATTATATGCAAGAGTAATAATAAAGAGTTTTTACACTAAAAGTGTAAAAAAAAAAAAAAAAAAAAAAGTAATAAATAAATAATTAAATTAATAATAAAATAAAAAATAAAAATAAAATCCCCAGTTTGGCAATCTATTAGCTTTTAGATTTTACTTCTTGGTTGGAAATCATGACACCACACTAGAGAATTCCATGACTGTTACCTAGCAACCATGCTGTACACTCATCAAAAAACTCCTCTAACGTGCACAGAAATTCTTATTTGACTAATAAAATGATAAGAAAACACATTCATTTTGAATTCAGTTTAATGTATCAAAAAAAATAAATAAAAAAATGTCTAAAACTGTAGAAATTAGAGAATCGTCAAATCCTGTCACAGTCACACACTTTGTGTAACATTTAGTAAGGTTTAATCAGGAACTCAGCAAAACAATACTGGGCAGATGACATCGTATTTATTTATTTTAAACATTTCATAACATTATAAGTAAGTAGTTGGCTTATCTGGCACCAATGGACATTTTAAGAACTTCTTGTTTCCGTAACACACCATGATTGTGCTGTGTAGAGCCAGTTTAAGTTGTAGTTGTGACTCAGAAAACAGAAACATCTATTGCTAATAAACAACTGACATGTTTTATGTTTAGAGTAGATTTTTTGTATTTTGGTGAATTAAGCACTTATTGTGCAAAACAAAAAAACAAAAAAAAAAAGAATAAACAGATCCACAAGAGCTGTGCAATGTCATTAAAATAAACATTTTAACGAGCTGCTGTGCGAATCTGTTTTTTCTTTTGGACAGTTTTTGTCTTTGGGCCCAGCATGCAGTCTCAACTTTTGTTGAATGTGCATGTCTCTTTCTACAAATATAGCACTTTTTACATACTATAGGGTTACTATGTGTTATGTGCTATGTTAAAATCTGGGGCATTTTATATTAATCTGAAGTGAACAGCAAAACCTAGGCTGAACAAATTGAAAACGGGGTCAGATCTAAGTTACATATCAGATCTGTAGAGAGGCTTTCACTGTCTGACTGGAGTACTGTTTTGGACAGTCTACAGTCCTAGTTATCTCCAGTATTGGTCCGTTGAGCCGGACTACTTCACCTAAGCATCAAAATGGACACCAGAAGAGCAGTAACAGACAGAGGAGCAACAGGATGGTTGCAAAAGCTTCCTGTGCCCCTCCAGATCAACCAGGTCAGGTTTCCTCATTCCTTCATACCTTAATCTGCCTCTCATCAGGATGAGAGCATAACAGCCAGTGTTCACCAGCTCAATGTAAAGACCAAGTCTGCAACAAATGATGGCCAGCTACCTACAGCACTTGGGTTCTCTTGCTTTCTATCCTCAGCTGCAGTCGATAAGGTGAGCCAGTGGAATACAGAACCACAAGTAAGCACCCAACCCAGCTTTCCAGTGATGTGTGGAGGAACCTCATCACCTGGCACAAGTGGATACAGCATACAAGACCAGTCATACCATACAGCCTATATAGTTCAACCAGTTAACAGTCTTGTATATCAGCAGCTGGCTACTATGCTGCCAGCTACAACACCTTTTATTCCTTCTTTTTATGTTCAACCCGTACCAAGCCTTTGCAGCAACATGTGCTATTATGTCTAACCTCTCAACGACAACCAGTTTGTTCCTGTCACTGTGAGTATCGAGCGTGGTAGCACAACAGCATCTATGCCAGTCCAGTACCAGGCCACATCAGTTGGCCCAGTGCAACAACCTATGCCAGTTGTGACAGCACCAGTGTACCAGCCCCAAGCTCCAGTCACACCATTCCTCAGTCGAAACACTTAGTAAATATGCCCCATGGTGTAAAAAACCCAGTAGCAACTCAGATGTCCATAGCCAATTCCTTAGCCAGCCTCTTGCACGGTCTCCATGGATATGGAAAAAACAAACAGCTCATTTCACAAAATCTAAAAGTCCCTTACTTGTGTCCTTTGACCTGCATGCTGCACTACTTGGTTAAAACCCCATGATATGATGTTAAAAACATTAAACAAGAGAGTGTCAAAAACTGCTGAGTGTATGAGCCAGGTAGCCACTAACCACCAAGCAACCACCCACTCCATTGCCATGGTGTATCAATAAAGGTGATGCAGTGCTCTTATCAACAGATACATAATACCCCTTTTCACTTCACAGAGATCACACTTGACTTGCACTCAAGCAGGTAGCAGCTTTACACATAAAACTAAACAAAAAAAATGCTTCTCATACTACCGACACGTGAGTATACATGATATGCTGCTATAAGAACATTTAGAGGAATTTTTCCTATTCAGAATATTTTGTTGTGGATTGTTATGGCAACTCTGAAACCCACAGATAGTTCAAAATTTGCTGGCCAATATCCAGCTCCTCTTCACAGTCCCCAGGTGAGTGAGCGATTGTCAAACCAGGAAGTCTACAAGTTCATGGATAAAAGAAAATCCCAGAAATCCCATACAATACTTAGTTTTAGACTTTTACTTGGAGTGATAGCAGAGCAGTGTCTAGCTGGGAGCGTCTTTTGTTCCTATGAGGACACCGTAGAAGAGCAGGAACAGCGGGCGGTAGCAGCTTTATTAACTCCTCTTCAGTGGTACATTCCAAAAGCTGTGAGGGAAGAGTTACGGAAACAAAAGACGGAAAACCAAGACCTGCTTAAGAGGAATAGTGACCCCTTCATGACAGTAACTGAAGTAGCCACCACAATTTGTACTCTCTTGAGAGAATTTGTACTTTTTATATATATATATATATATATATATATATATATATATATATATATATATATATATATATATATGGCTTTGTTGATAACATTGTTGCTTATCTTGCATAGTATTAGTAACTTCCCTGCTTCTTCCAAATTTGTTTTTGACTATTGAAAAATACATAACTGCTATGAATGAGCTGCTGTAGGAAGAATGGTTCAAATAGAATCCAGATTGTGCTAGTTGTCTCTGAATACCACAGCACACAACACTCTGGCTCTGTTCTCCTGGGACAATCACCCATGTGTCCATTTTGTGTCCACTCACTGTCCAGGCTCTCTCCACTCTGTTCCTACTCCTCAGTGTGTCTTTGTCTGCTGTACACTCACCATAAGGCATGTAACGCTCCATCAATCCACACTTTATCTGAGCCTAACTGGGAGGCCATGGCAACAAATTCAGCTTTGGGAAAGCTGTGGAATAAAGTCTGGGATTGGTAATGCAATGATATGACATGGTGAAAGTGCATACTGTTGGTTTTTAGACGCGACCTACAAGAGTCTTAAGAAAGACGTCCTGGAGATGGAAAGGTCCACGTATAGGTCTCTTTATTTTAGCACAAGCAGTTACAGGACTAGATTCGAGTTGATTACAGAATTCAGTCACAAGAGTCTCAAAATGACAGCAGAGTAGTCAGCCCTTATACATACCATCCTGTCAAATATTAACTTATTGAATAACTTGTTTTTGCAGGATAATTTACAGAAATATTTATCAAATAATTCACAAAAATATTGATCAACTTGTTTTGCAGAATAATTCTCAGACATATTGATCAGGCTGCCTGGTTCACATACACCCCTTCTGGAACTTGACTTGAGACAGTAACCAAAAAGAAAACATAACAAGGAACATTTTGATATGATTAAAATGAAAATGAAACATTAACACATAAGGAAAATAATTCTCACAATACACAGGTAAGACATTTCACTAAAACATAGGTTTTTCTAGCATTTTGACTTTGGTGCATCTGCTGGCCCTACCTGACAAGTCCTCCTATTAAACTGCACTGAAACCTTTGACTGAGACACAAAGGCAACAGAGAAGCACAGTGGAAATGCTGAAGCAAAATGGCAACAGTTTGCTGTAGCAACACTTGAAATTTCCTCTGAATTTCCTCATAATTTTTCGCTCTCTCTTTCTTTCTAAAATGTGCTATAGAAGACACTTGATCATATGATCACTTGTTCATTGTAGACATATGGAAAGTAAAGTATTTTCTCCTGTTGGTTGTGTAGGACTCTGGGAGAGGCCTGGGCCCAGCTGAAGAAGAGCCTGGCTGATGAGGCTGAAGTCCACCTCAAGTTCTCCTCCAAGGTCTGCTCCACTTCATGTCTCCTCTCACCTCTCTTGTCTCCTCTCACCTTACTGTCTCTACTACTACTGGACCTTATCTGCAAGTCTATAGCAACAATCTATAGTGTGTAAAGATGCACTATGTAACTTTTCTAGGGAAGGACCTTAGTAATAATAATAATAATAATAATAATGCACCAGTTTTATATAGCGCTTGTTTGGACATTCAAAGACACTTTACAGATCATTATTCATTCACTCCATACCCGGTGGTCCCACTACTGTAGTCATGGCTGTCCTGGGGCAGACTGATGGAGGCGAGGCTGCCAATCTGCGCCATCGGCCCCTCCAACCACTGCCATCACTCACACACATACCATTTTCATACTAGGCAATGAGGATGAAGTGCCTTGCCTAAGGACACAACAACAGTTTTTTTACAACTGGTGTCCCACTGTGGCACCTGATTTTCCCAGTGGTCTCCCATCAAGTACTGACCAGGCCCCGCCCTGCTGAGCTTCTGTGATCTGACGGTATCAGGCTTTGACAAGCCGGTATGGTGACACGAGCCATAGTCAGCCTTATTATGGGTAGAGGGGTGGGGTGAGTCATATGTCTTAAATCATATCACAGTTTTATAGACCCAGCAATCAAATTGAAATTTGATAAAAAGTAGATCAAATGAATATTAAAAATGGGGCTTTTTGGCTAAAATGAAGGAGAAGAAAATGCAGATGATGTGGTGTAGTGGCCGCTGTGTACGAGAGGAGGCGCGCCTTTGGTGAGTTGCGGATCACCAATCTCCATGCAGTGTTGGCCCCAAATAGCCAAACGCTTTAATTTGTGCACGTTTTGTCCCGCTAATTCAGCTGCACTATAATGTGTCAAAAACTCAGCATTTTCGGCGGTTCTAAAGGCTAAGTTCTTCTTTAGGCATTTTTGTATTAGTCTGCATTAGGCTGAACTAGGCAATGTGCACAAGGCTTGTGAGCATATAGGCGTTTATCTACAATGAGCAAGGTGTAAAGATGATGATTAAAAAATGGGAAATTGTATTCAATGACTGAAGAAAAAGCTACAGACATAGCAGTGAGCATAAGTGAAAATCCTTATTTTCTGTAGGTCTATGTGGGCATACAGAGGAGAAACAGTGCAATGCAGCATTAACATATCAGAATTGTGGTGGAATAAGAGGTGCAGTTTCTAATGAAAAATCAGGTGCAACATGCCCACAAATAGCACATAGATTGCACTTGATTCTTTAGAGTTGGGACAAAACATGTCCTCTTTAAAACACAGCAATTTCAAAATATTATAATTGGCATAATTATATAATTAAATCTAAGGGAGAGCTGTATACTGGACCTATTTATTTGGAAAAAAATATTTGAATATTTGTAACACTTTAATAACAATTTTAATATAAATGGAAATGGAAATTTTGAAGTCAGTATAATTTTTGTGTCCTTTCCAGGGTTCAGATATTTCATCTGCTTAAAAAAATATTGATTAAAATTAGACTTTATTACCTTAAATTAGATTAGACTTTATATGTTTAAAAAATAATTATGGTAAACTTTTGAAAATATTTTTCTTTAAAATTCAGCTTCAGCATGGTGTCCCATTTTTCTGTCAACTCTGCCAGACTCTTTCAGAACTCATTAAATCAGGCCTAATATAATTAACTAAATACCTGAGGGCCCTAATTGCTACTCTTACTCCACTGAATGCAGCACTATCAGACACAGCCTTGTCACTTTTACACAATTTCATGTTTAAGCCAAATAATGTTTTTTTAATTTATTCATTTATTTAAATTACATTTACAAAATACACTTAACAAATACTACATTAACATGGACATTATATTAACATACAGCAACATCACATCGACAAATTAGGCTCTTTTTGTTTTGCAGAAGGTTGGGTTAGTCCAAATATGTGTAAAATGGCATGGTACTGCAGTCTGCTGACTATATAATAATAGTAAACATTTGTTAGTAAAAGTTTTTAGGCTAATATGTGGAGGTGTATCTTTCTATACATTTTTTGAGACACATGAATGTAATGATTTAAACCAGGTATCGGATCGGATGGTTTGGTGAGGAGAAAAATCATATTTATTTTAATTGAGCTTTTCTCAATTGAGCCCTGTGTTTCTTCGATGTCACAGGCATGCATGGAAGAATATTCAAGGAAATTGTGAGTTTAAAAAGGCATCAAAGTTTGGAAACTTTGGAATTGAGTTTTGCGAGCCATGAAATTCGTACACACATTTGTCATGTGAAGACAAACAAAAAATGTTATTATGGCCACGCCCCCTGACAAACCAGAAGGCGGCCATCTTGGATTGAAATTTGAGTCCGCATTTTCGTTGACGTTGCGTTTGAACGAACTCCTCTGAAGGCGCTTCACCCACAGGGCTGAAAATCACCGTACATCATCTAGACAAGTGGAACATCTAAAGTTAGCTGATTTTTTTTGATAACTGTCACGGTTTACGTGCGGCGAAGCCGCAAAATTTGGTCAAAATTTTGGCGAATTTCAAGGTGACATTATTTGCTCCTGTTCGCACAGACTTAGTCCGATCGTGCTGAAATTTGAATCACTAATGTGTGATCTCAGTCTGAATATAATACACTATAAAACATATGAAAAAACACTATAGCGCCCCCTACCATAGACATGAAACGTCAACATTATCAGATCTGCACCAAATTTGGGAATTAAATTCTATGCATAATTACGAGCAAAAAAGTATATTATGGACATGGCGAATTTTTCACTGTTGGCCAGCAGGGGCGCAAAAACTCCTCCCAAAAATATTAAAAAATATATTACACGCACATGCTTAGTCCGATCATGCTGAAATTTGAATCACTAATGTGTGATCTCAGTCTGAATATAATACACTATAAAACATATGAAAAGTGAACACTATAGCGCCCCCTACCATAGACATGAAACGTCAACATTGTCAGATCTGCACCAAATTTGGGAATTCAATTCTATGAACAACTAGAAGCAAAAAACATATATTACTGATATGAGGCATTTTTCATGGTTGGCCAGCAGGGGGTGTCAAGACTCCAAAAAATATATTTAAAGGTGCACTATGTAATTTTTCTGGTGGAGGATGTCTTGGTGCACAAAGTTACAAAAATGGATGGGTTAGGTGAGGAGTTATGGTTAAGGGTAAGGGTTAGGGTTATAGTTGGGGTTGGGGCTATGGTTAGGGTTACGATTACGGTTATGTTTAAGGTTAGGGTAGAATTTAGGGTTGAGGCTAGGAATTCGAATTGAGATTGGGGTTTAGTGTGGGGCGCAGCATTTGCAGGGCGTGGCTTTTGGCGGGACGTGACGTTTGCGAGGTGTGGCATGTGCGACAGGCAAGGGCTGTTCGACGCTGCTTGCGGCTTTAATTATTACTATTCTTCTACCAAATTTGGGAATTACATTCTATTAATGACTAGAAGCAAAAACATGTATTACTGATATGGGGCATTTTTTATGATTCGCCAGCAGGGGGCACAAAGAACATTTAAAGGCGCACTATGTCATTTTCCAGTTTGTGGGTGTGACGTTTGGTGGCGCAGCGATTGCAGGCACAGTGTTGGCAGGGCACACCATTTGCGGGCGCGGCGTTTGCGGGCGTGGTGTTTGTGGGCATGGCATTTGAGGGCGTGGCGTTTGCACAACTTTCGTTCAAACAACATGTCAGAAGAACAGTGAATAAAATCAAATATAATTTATAAAATGTTTCATCATTATAAGAAATAATCTAACGACAAACTCGGCAATTATGTATTTAAATTCAATGATTTTGCCGTGCCTAAATTATTGCATTACTAGTTGGACTCTGACAAGTAAAAGTACTCTAAAATTAGAACTATCTATAAAAAAGCACTTAAGGTATTAGACAAGCCCACAAATTATCACTACTGCAGAAAACTTGACAAATACAAATTCCTAAATTGGGACAACACAATCAAATATGCAGATTTAATTTTGGTATACAAAGTTGTTCATATTCTTGCTCCACCTCCTCTAAAGGAGTTTGTGGAAAGAAATTCAAATCGCAAGAGCAACTCTGTGCTGTTTAGGAAAAGTGCTTTTGGACAACTCTCTTTTGCTTATCAAGCATGTCAAACATGGAACACAGCACCTGTTCATATGCAAGAACTTTCAACACTGGCAGCATTTTCTAAATCTTTAAAACAGTGGTTGTTCAGTTTTTATATTGAGGGGTTGTTGGTTTAACTCTTCCTTTTCTCTGTTCCTTTTCTCTGTCCTGTAAATGATTTCACATCAACCTGCCGAGATACTGAAGATGGAAATGAGCCACGCTGGCTATAATCTTTACATATTTAATTACATTTTAAATGTTCATTAATATGTGCTGTCCCTTGACAAATAAATAAATAAATAAATAAATAAGAAATATGCTAGGAACAAAGGGGGAAGTTAGTTAGTTGTAAGGGCTATGGACAGAAGAATAGGATACAACTCTCTGGGAGGTAGATCAGTAAAAACATGAGAGACTGAATATTTACGTTTAATGGCTATTGCTGTATATTGATAGTGCAAAGAAGGTGAATAAACACATTATATATAGAATACAGTATTTACATCTGCAGATACGATGATCAGTTCGGTCAGTCAGTCAACTCAGTTCGAGTCAAGTCAAGTTAATGCAAGTGCTCACAATACAACAATAGCAGCAATAGTGGATAGAGTGCAAAATTTGAAACAAAACGGGTAATAGTCACTTTGCTAGTGGCTTTATCATAGTCCATAGTTCAGGTGAGCAATGTGGGTTTAATGTCCATAATCTAAGTCCATAATCCATAAACAGAATGTGTGTGTAGTAATTGTCCATATGCTTATAAGAGGGTTTGCGTTGGTAGTGAAGTGTGGGGAGTAGACTGGCTGCAAGAGCCTCTACCAGACCATAGAAGCGTGGAATATTTGTGAGTTGTAAATAGGTTCCCTGGTTTTCAGTTCGCCATCGGGATATGGTTGTACCCTACTGGGCATCACCTGGCCAATTCCCTCGTTTTACACTTTCACGCAGTCTATTTGTCTTCACATGATAGCCTTAAGGGCTCCTGTAAGTTAGCATGAGGTATTTTAAGTTTGTGTAAAGAGATGACATTATATAAACAGCAAAAATAGTGATAGTTGTTCCGGTACCTGTCATCCTGTCTCACCTCACTCCTGAGTGTGAATGGAGGGAGGGGAGTAGTGTAAGAAGCGCTAGAGTGAATTCAATTGGCTGTCTCTTTTTCACGAGTGTTGCGCAAGTGAGTGGTGTGTTTACTGACTGGCAATATTCATAATATTTTTTATTAACTGCAGTTAGACATATTTTAACTTGGGTTACACATGTATGTAGTGACATGTTTGTGATTGTTGACTGTTGAGCAGCTGCAGAGCAAGGTGGAGAAGCCCTTCCTGACCTTTAGAGAGAACTTTAAGAAGGACATAAAACGTCTGGACCATCACATGTCTGACCTGAGGAAGCAGCTGGTGGGACGCTACGCTGCCGTGGAGAAGGTACCAGAGAGCACACTGTTAACACAACTCCATATTGGCTTATAATAGGGTATAAAGCTAGTGCTCTTACGGGTTTAAAAAGGGAATACAATCACAACTGAGTCTGATTTGCCTTAAAGGGCTGTACCTGATTTTTACCATCTTCAGAATCATGAAAAACAGAATTATTTCATTTTAAACTATTTGAATTGGCCAAAAGTTATTCCTTATTATGCATTTAGAGCATCCTTATTATTCACAGTAATGAGTTTCTGAGTCTTCTTCACAATTATCAGGGACCAGAGCAGTCATGGTAAAGCAACAGTGCACTTCCTCATTTAGGTCTCCAAGTAGTTTTAGTTGTAGGACCTGGCAACCTAAAGTCTGCTCTCTGCTCTCTTACTGAACAATTGTCTTTTTTGTAACTAAGATTAAATCAGCATTACAACTGAGACCAGAAAGAGCATGATTTGAACATGGTGACAAAGATAGGATGTGCTTATAAACATGAATTTTGAAATAAAAATCGTAAACCCTACCTCTAATCCATGTCACAAGAAACTAAAAATGTATCATTAATTGTATGTTCTTGGCCCTGTTAGAATAGAATGTGCTCTATCAATCTCCATGGAGACAAGAAGTGACAACACTGGGCTAAACTATGGAAGGGCCAACTTGTAAAGTTTCAAGGTATTATGTAGCAATAAAAGGGTCCAAATAAGAAGTGGTTTGCCAACATATCGATATATTGATATATTGTGATACTAAATTTGGTGATATAGTATCGTTATCGCCGGAAGCTGCATCGATACCTAAATTTTTAATATTTTTTGGTATGTTTTTGACATTTTTATTGGGAATGTACTGCAATGTGTTGCTTATTTAGTGGAAAGAAACTTGTGTATGTAATACACTTGACATATTCACAATTTGTATGACTAAAATAGATGTATTTTATATTAACTTTGCATATGTAATGGTTTAGCAAAGAAATATTGTTGCTAAATTGTATTTAGTTCTTAAAAAACAGCTATATATCGCAGAGCATCATATACAATATATCAATCATAGCATCACATCTTCCTGTAAGACCTCCCAAATATCTATCAAATATCTGAGTTGCCACAATTATTAAATCTCACAATGTTTTGTTGTACCTGTAGTTTAGACCTCTACAAACATGTTTTGAAATGCATGAGATCCTTGTATTTGTTTGTTACTTCAGATTTAGGTAATTTGAGGCATTTTTTAATACAATCGTCATAATTAGACAGCGTTTCTAATATAATTCATCTGTGTTACTGAAGGCCCTGTAGCTCCCAGCTGTAATGTGTGATTGTTGTTTGTTTGTTTCATTGTGTCATCAGGCGCGTAAGGCTCTGGCCGACAGACAGAAGGAGCTGGAGCTCAAGACACAACAGCTCGACATCAAACTCAACAGCAGCAAAGCAGAGGAAGACATCAAGAAGGCACGCAGGAAGTCCACACAAGCAGGTCAGCAAAGGGCCAGGGAGGGGCTATCGAGGGACCAGGTAGGGGGTGTGGGCATCATCAGGGGGGAAGGGTATGGGTGCATAGCCAGAGATTAACACCTTTATTTTGTTAGGGGAAAAAAATATTGTTAAATACATTAAATTGCATAAATTGTCCCTGCATTTTGGATTTTTTTTTTCTTTTTTGAGTTTATTTTTCATAGGGACTATCCCACCAAACAACAGTCACACCACACCTATCATTTAATTTATTTAGTAAGTCTTTATTTATATAGCGCTTTTCACTGACATATGTCACAAAGACACTTTACAGCATTAGTCAGCATTATTCAGTCACTCCATACCCAGTGTTGGTCAGCTACCAGCTAGCCACAGCTGCCCTGGAGCAGACTGACGGAAGCGCGGCTGCCGTGCCAGTCTGTGATTGGAGCCCCCCTGTGGCACCTGATTTTCCCAGCAGTCTCCCATCCAAGTACTACCCAGGCCTGGCATGGCTTAGCTTCTGAGATCTGACAGGATCAGGCTTTGACAAGACAGTATGGCCAGATATTTATTTATTCTGATTTCTTATTGTATTTGCATATTTTTATTGAAGGTAAAAATACTGTGCGAGGATAGCAGAATAGAAATGTAGACCTATAACTACTGAACTAGGTTTAAAAACTACAATGCAGTGCTAAACTAGACAGTGCTATATTGTATTGTACTGTAATGCACTAAGAGCTAGAACGAAACCAGGTTTCAGCTGAGACAAAACTTGAAAGACAAAATTAAACCAAGATTGATACTGGTCTACAGTGGCGGGTGGTATAATTTTTTTATTTTTTATTTTTTTGGGAGGGGGAGAGGCCAAAATTATAAATATATATTATTAATATATGTATTATACATAGACTATATAGTGTTATAACAAATGCCAGAAACTGACAGTCATTTTGGTCTTATTGGCTGAACTATCAGAGCACAACCCACAGCCAAGCTCAAAATTTACGTAGCAGCACAACCTGATCCACCGCTCACGGCCAGCCCCAACAACACAACATAACACACCACTCACACCCAGCCCCAACAACGTCAGCAAAACTACAATAAGAGGCTACGGTCACAACATGAACACACGGCATCAGCACCGCTCCTCCGCACCCATAAGCTCATTTACACACAATTTCCCTCCATCCTCAGACTTACCCAAAACTAACGAAAACACGCCTCTTACCTTTTCCAAATGACTGATGCTGAGTGTTTCCTCTATCCGCTGTCCCCTTGGTTCTGTCTCCAAAAGTGTATTGTCCACAACGAAGAGATGAAACTGGTCCAGATCCTGGTCCAGTGAGGTCTGTGACGCGAGGTCTGGGAGCCGAATGCACGAGCTGATTGTAAACTAGTCTTAATCTCACTTCCCACTTAAATGTGAAAGTTACAACAGTCCATATTAGCACCAGGACACCAGGTGGACTTAGAGCAGCGAGCAGTGCAAATCAGAATAAGAGCCATAGGATCTCACTGCAGCCAGAAGCACTCATTCCATCTTAATGCTTCTTTTTTTCCTTCTCTGAAGAGAAGATATTTTACTCCCTAAGACTGTTCCTTGGACGTACTTTGACTTGAAATTGAACTCGCCATAATTGGATCGTACACAGGTCTGTTGTTCTCCATTCATTAGCCTGTAGTAGTAAGATGCCGTCAGTGGAGAGTTGGGGCTGAGCGACAGCTGAGTGACCACACCACCACAATAGGTCAACGTGTGTGTTACTGTTTATTCAGACCAATCTCTTGATTTCATGGCACCCCCACCCAAGCAACATAATTACGTCAAATTTTCTCAAAACTTCAGGCTCTTCCATAGATCTCCATTAAGTCGCTCTGACTCACTGCACTCAAATTCCAAACACATGATTCAAATAAAGTGATATGAGCACATTTAACATGATAAAAATATGTCTATGCAGATACACGTTAAATTTTAAACAAAATATTAAAGATATAGCCTAATACAAAATAATAACTTTTTTTTTTTTTATATATCTAGGTCAAATTAGGGAGTGCGGCACACTTGCTCCCTCTATTGACCAGCCGCCACTGCTGGTCTAATTCCAAAAGAGCAATTTGGAATTTTCAACCTTCTAAACAATTAGCTTGTTCCTACTTCTGTCAGACTGCTGTACTTGGAATATGTCCTGAGCTATTTTGAAGTAACTTTACTCTTATTATCAACAAGTTAGACTAAACCAACTGGACTTACTTAGCTTTTGAAACTGATGTTTCGCAACCAAGCAGGTAGCTTTATCAGGGCTTGTGTTGGTGACTGTGACTCACACTAAACGTAACAGTGCTGACATTTTAGTGATGTCAGCAAGAAAATCCTGAGCATCCTTTGTATGGCTCTGTCACAGGCTTTGGAGTGTACTAGCCTGGAACATCTTACTCTCCAGGCTAGTACATCGCAAAGAAAAGATCCCAAAAGGTAGGAAAGCAGAAGTAGTTTATGTAGTAATGTGCAGCACAAAGGATTGTATCAGCATTTACATTGGTGAAACACCTAAGCCATTTGAGACGCGCCTCTATCAACACCACCACAAAACATTTTCTGGTCTGAACTATGCTGTGTACTTGCACATGGAGGAGACACGCTACACTTTTGACAACAGTGACACTTTTGGATCAGGAACCTCTGTGGTTTGAAGGAGGCTGCATATGAAAGATCTTTGAGGCCAGCCCTAAAGAGAGATGGGGGACTGCACTTCCAGCTCTCACACCTAAGACAGAGCCATACAGATACAATGGCCCAGGTCTTTCTTGGTGATGTCACTGAAATGTCAACACCGCTACATCTTACAGGAGTCACAGTCACCAAGACGAGCCCTTATACTTGGATGTACCAAAATTTGCATAAGTTAACATTACTCTTATTTATTTTTTACTTTTTTGCTGTTTTACCTACCTATGAGTGTCCTACCTGAGCTGCGCTTCCTCCTTAGCACATGTGTAACATATGACTGGGACTGTGCTGTTGAACTCTCATGCATTTGATAATTCAAGGACTTGGGACAGACCTGAAATGTTCCTATGGCACCACCCTGAGACATTTGGCCTTGTGCTGTGATGGACACTCCAGGGAGGGAAGCTATTTTTAATAAACCCGGAACTCATATTAAAGGAGTTTGACTACTCATTAAAATTGTTTTATTTATATAAATGTATATATATATATATATATATATATATATATATATATATATATATATATATATATATATATATATATATATATATATATATATATATATATATATATATATATATATATATATATGGACCAGTGCATTATCCCGATGAGCTCCTCTTTGTCTCTGCTCTTCTTAACTGAATGTGTGCGGTGTAGAAACATTTGAAACTACAACGTTTACATGTAATATCCTCCCATCTACAGTAAAGCACAAACTGATTTTAATTTACAACAGGCTGTTGTAGAAAAAGTTCTTACTAACTGTATTATTTTTTTGTCCCACAATGCATTGCAATCTACAGTTATGACATGTAATTTCTGAAAGCAAGAAGCAGTTGTAAAAGTTACTGTAGAAACTACAGAAATTTGTTAGAGTGCACAGAGAGGGAGGCTCTGTGCTGTAGGCTAAGGAAGCACCATGGGCATCTACAGCACAGGTTCAAGAACACATAAACAAACTTTACTTTTTTGAACTTTTAACCATAATATAGTTTTTCCCTCATCACAAACATACCTGGAGTTGTACTTGATTTATTTGCACTTTGATTAATCCTCACTTAGTAAGTCTGCTCCTCCTAAGCCCTATTAAAAATATGTAACTTTGAAATTCCCAGTTTTGTGATATAACAAGTCTCCTGGGCAGCTTTCGTTTGTAACATTTTCTTTCAGTCACTCTCCATCCATTTTCTTCCGCTTATCCGGGGCCGAGTCGTGGGGGCAGCAGTCTTAGCAAGGACTCCCAAAATTCCTTCACCCCTCTAGCTCCTTCAGGTGGACCCGGGGTGTTCTCAGGCAAGCTGAGAGACATAGTCCCTATGGCGTGTCTTTCCTGGGGCTTCATTCCGGTGGGACATGCCCAGAATATCTCCGTAGGGAAGTGTCCAGGAGGCATCCGGAACAGATGCCCAAGGCACCTCAGCTGGCTCCTCTCAACATGGAGCAGCAGCTCTACTCTGAGCTCCTCACTCTATCTCTGAGGGAGTGCCCAGCCACTCTGCAGAGAAAACTCATTGTCCTTTGTCCATTCAATCATTACTCCAAAGCTCATGACCATAGGTGTGGATAGGAACGTCGATTGACCAGTAAATTGAGAGCTTTGCTTTTTAGCTCAGCTCCCTCTTCACCACAATGGTCTGATGATACAGCAACCACATCACTGCTGTTGCTGCACCAATTCGCCTGTCAGTCTCATGCTCTATTCTCCCCTTCACTAGTGAACAAAGACCCCGAGATACTTGAACTCCTCCACCTGAGGAACTTTCCACCCACCTGGAGAGGACAAGCCACCTTTTTCCTGGCCAAGAACCATGGCCTTGAATTTGGAGGAGCTGATTTTCATCCCAGCTGCTTCTCTGCCCCAGTGCATGCTGCAGGTCCTGGTTCAACGGAGCCATTAGAACATCATCTGCAAACAGCAGAGATGAGATCCTGTGGTCCTGGACCGCCCTTAGCAAAGGGCCCTGGACCCTATACTCCCGGAGCACCCCCCACATGACACTTCTCCAGTGCCCTGGAACAGACCTTACCAGGAAGGCTGAGGAGTGTGATCCCACTGTAGTTGGAACCTGCCCTCCATCCCCCTTTCTTAAACAGAGGGGCCACCACCCCGGTGTGCCAGTCTAGAGGTAATGTCACCTTCCGCCACACGATGCTGCAGAGATGTGTCAGCCAAGACAGCCCCACAGCATCCAGAGATTTAAGATTCTCAGGAAGGATCTCATCCACCCCCGGAGCCTTGCCACCACCACCAAGCTTGCCAACCACCTCAGTGACTTCAGCCAGGGTGATGGATGACTTCGCCTCCATGTCCCCAGCCTCGGCTTTCTCCTGGGAAGACATGATGGCGGGATTGAGGAGATCCTTAAAGTATTCCTTCCACTGCGTCCCCAGTCTCCCCCAGAATCTGAGAGGTGTGAGTTGAAGGTCTTCTTGATAGAGGGCTCTGCCAGATATTCCAAACTGACTTTAACTATATGCTTGGGTCTGCCAGATCTTTCTGGCTTCCTCCTTTGCCAGCGGACACAAATCACCACCAGGTGGTAATCAGTTGACAGCTTTGGCCTTCTCTTCAGTGTCCAAGACACGCAGCCGAAGGTCAGATGACACGATGACAAAGTTGATCATCGACCTCTGGCCTAGGGTGTCTTGGTGCCACATCCACTGATGGATATCCTTGTCCTCGAACAAGTGCTTTTTGTAGCATTTTGTGTTGAAAAGCACTCTGTAAATAAAGTTTGGTTGATTGATTGATTGAACATGATGTCCGTTATAGACGAACTGTGATTAGCACAAAAGTCCAATAACAGAACACCCTTCCCAATCACCCTGATCCCGATCACCCCGATCCTGATCACCAATGACAGTGACATGTGTCACAGTGACATGTGTCATGTGAGAGACCTGTCCCCTGATCCAAAGGCGCAGGGACATGACCCTCTCGTTCAATGGGGTGAACTCCAACACATGGCAGCTGAGTCCCCCACAGCTCAGTCTTAAACAAACTGTGCTAATCCAAGAACCTGTAGAGAAATTATTTGACACAGTAGTTAAAAAAAAATTGATTGTTCTTAATTAGTGATTTATTTGAATTGCAGCATTACAACAACAATAACATTAAAAAATGAAATTAATGAAAATATAATTCTGAATAAGGTAAAGTATAATAGTTAAAGGCCCTATATTACACTATTTTCAAATGTTATATGTTGTTTCCTGATCAATAAACATACCTGGAGTTGTGTTTTGTTTCATTCACGCATGTGTAACACTCAAACCCTGCATATTTAAAATGAGTTCTTCTCTCAACAGAAAATGTCCCATGTGGTACTACAGCAAGTGCTCCACTGTCTTTTGAAATCCGTACACCTTCACAAGAATCATTTGGCTGATTTTAATCTATGGAATTGTCAGTCTCTATTGAACTAAAGATTTAAGATTTATAACAGAATAGAGCATTTTGAGTTTTGCAGATGTAGACAGAGAGCTCATTACTCAAACGTGTGAATGAAACAAAACACAACTCCAGATATGTTTTGTGTAAAAGGAGGTAACAGCACTCTAACATGGCTTAAAATTTACAAGAGTCAGTTTTGTGCTTGTGCTACTTATATGTGTAGGGGTTTATATATTTATTATTTTGTGTCACATTTTTATGTGTATAATTATTTATTCAGTCAAAAAATAATTAAGTGAAGAAAGTTTGCTTTTATCTTTTACCCACTTAGTGAAATGTTCTCTATACTATACACAGGCAGTGATTGTTACAAGCCGGGGGAGACTGAGTGGTTCCTCTAATTAAATAGACTTGGAGATCACAGGGACTTCTAGGACAGTTACTGTTATGTGTGCCTAATATTTACCCAGGACACACATTTTTTGGTAGTTTTTATGGCATGTGTTTTGTGTGTTTGTGTGTGTTTAGTGCTGTTATGTGCTTTTATTTGTCAAAGCAAAACTATTACGTAAACTTATTTGCAGTAGGGTTGCGAGGTTATTACCTCAATGCATGTCCAACAGTGAAATGATAAACTTCAATATAATTGACAAACTAGGGAAATCTCGGCTATTTTGCTAAAAGAAAAGCAAACAAAAAATATAAGTAATTATTTAATAAATATGTAATAATTTATTTTGTTTCAGTTGTTGTCTAGGGTTATAAGTGTAAGGTTATATTATAATAATAAGGTGTAAGTGTGTACTATAATGCCAGCAGCAGATGACAGATGCAGTAGCTCCATCTGGTGGAGGCACTGTGTTTTACCTCTGACCCCTGTCATGTTGTGTTGCAGGAGATGAACTGATGCGATGTGTGGACCTCTATAACCAATTTCAGTCCAAATGGTTTGAAGAGATGGTCACCACCAGCCTGGTAAGTGTGGGTTTACAGTTGATCCTAGTTTTCAGACACTATACCCTTACTTGAGTAATATATTATACAGTCTAACAGTACTCTTACTTGAGTAAGCACAAACACCAAACATCAGTTTAAAATTTAAAGCCAATTAGTGGCACAGTGGCTGAATAGCTAGCACTCTCGCCTCACAGCAAGAAGCTTCCAGGTTTGACTCCCTGGTCAACCTGGGCCTTCCTCTGTAGAATTTGTACGCTTTTTAGTTTTATCATGGTTGCTTGTATTCTTGTGCTGACCTCGGTGCATCCTCTTGTGGCTACAGGAGCTAGAGCGTCTGGAGGTGGAAAGGGTGGAGATGATCCGACAGCATCTTTGTCAGTACACCACCCTGAGGCATGAGACCGACATGTTCAACCAGAGCGTAAGTGCCCGTTACACTATAACAACTAAAAAAAGCAATTTACCTAGTGAGTGGTAGGTGTTAAAATCTGTGTAATACAAGACATCAAATAATGGGCATTGACATTAAGCTACAAGAAAACTAGTTAGTATCCCACCCAAGCATATTGAGGTTAAAGTTCATAAACCCTAAATGGAATTCCCTTGTTTGTCCAGACAATGGAGCCAGTGGACAAGCTGTTGCAGTATGTGGACCCGGCAAGAGACAGAGAGTTGTGGGTACGAGAGAACAAGACTGGGGAGATCCGACCTGTAAACTTGGAGATCTGAAATTATATACCCTCTAGAGATATGAACTGCTCCCACACTCCTGGAGATCTAGTCCTACCCTTCTAGAAGAACTGCTCCTCTTCACAGATAAATCTGATCTAAACTGCTCCTACTCTTCAGAGAGGCCATCCATGGACATATGATGAACCGCTCCTGCTCTAGAGGAGATATGATCTGCTTCTACCCTCCAGACTGGCCAACCATGGAGATATGAACTGCTCCTACCCTTCTAGAGCTCTGATCTGCTAATTTTGACAGATGGGCCAAGAGAGCCAAATTGTTCCTACCCTCTGGAGATCCAAACAGCTCCTACCTTCTGGAGATCTGAACTGCTTCTTATCATCCTGGAGATCAAATCTATACTTTTCAGATTGTTCCACCTACAGATCTGAACTTCTACTCCCCAGAGTCAACAACCAGGAGTTATGAAAAGCTCCTAATCTCCTGGAGTTCCAAACTGCCTCTAGCCTCCAGACTGGTCAACCATGGAGATATTAACTGCTAAAATCTTTGGGACTGGTCATCCATGAAGATCCTGACAGATCAACCTGAAAGTTTAAACCTCTATTACTCTCCTAGAGATATTATCCTCTCCTACATTCCAGACCAGTCCACCTAGAGATATGAACTGCTCCTACCCACCTAGAAATCTAGATTGACAGAGGAATGCCAACTGCTCCTTCCAGTCTGATCAGCATGGAGATATGAAGAGTTCATACCTTATTAGAGCTCTGAACTGCTCTTGCCCAGCTCTCCATGCCCAAAGGGGCTGGTTGCGCATAAACGGTGTATTCAGATGCTGTAGTGAGGGGGTGTGGCAGGTGCCAGCTTTAAATCAGAGGTGCTATACCTAGCTCTGCTTAAAACTGTTGTTACAATTTTTCATAACTAACACTTTGTTGAACCTTCTCACTCAATAGATACAGGTTCTACTCATTTCTCGGATTAAAAATTAAAATGTCAAAGTTAAAAAGAGTTACATTTTAACTACTTTTTTATTTTAAACAAACATATTCTTCTCAAAGTAGTTTTCAGACATATTTTACTTCTGCGTGTAATATATTATGCTGTGTGTCAGTATTCTTACATCTTACAGTAAAAGTTTGGTTTGCTCTTCCCACAAGTGTCAAAAGCTGATGAAATTATTTTAACATTTGTGTTTCTTGTCTCTCTCCTTCAAATTTAGTTCTTGTTTTTGTGTCTATGCTTTGAAAATACTGAATTTTATGCATTATTCATTGTTTTGCAGTTTAGTTTAGTTTATTTATTTAATGAGACAGGAACAGTGGGCAATATACATTAACCTTAACAGGAGAGTTGCATTGTACTGGGTTATAGGGCCAGTGCTAATTTCCACCTGTAGTCCCTGGGCAGATTGATGTTATAATTCATAAAATCAAACATACAAAGAGAATGTCTTTATGTTTGGAGCATCATAACAATTCTGTATCATCATTCACACCTAGTTCTCTCAGCACCTGAGAGATGAGAGATGAGATACAACGCGTATTGTGTATTACAGGCGGGGAGTAATTACACACGGGTGGGTCAGGACTAAACCAGGTCTAAACCAGGACTAATCTTGGATTTAAGAGAGAAAATTCCGAGCTGTTTGTCCGCAAAGAGCGATCGGGCAACTGCCGCATTTAACTCCGTGAGGTGCGGAGCTGAGCCGGTCTTTTCTCCTGCGGTCACCTCCAAGCCCGTCCTGACAGTGAGTCCTGTTTCAGTTCTGGTTTAGTCCTGGTTTAGTCCTGTTTTAGTCCTAGTTCAGTCGTGGATTAGTCTTCCTCTTCAGTCCTGGAATCAGTCTTGGGTTAGTCCTGGTTTAGTCTTGGTTCAGTCCGTGGCGTAGGCAGCGCAAAAGTTTGATATAATCTCGGGTTAACAGGCAGGTGTGGTCCTGTACTGCTCGGTTGCGTTGTTGTACTGCGCGGGTGCGGTGTTGTACTGCGCGGGTGCGGTGTTGTACTGCGCGGGTGCGGTGTTGTACTGGGGGTCTCCAAAAATGGACCCGTGTGGGACTCTGCGCTGTTGGGCTCCATTACGGAATAAATGAATCTTCAGTTTGTTACATAAAGAAGGAGGAAAATAACACAAGGACGACAGCAGCAACAAGTTTTAAGAAGGAAGTAAAAAGGGTTGCACCTGTCCTGTCTGAGAAAAGTGTATAAAGTTTGTGGTGAGGGGTTTTACAGCCTTAACACAGATAGAATAGTTGTAAAATATAAAGCAGACTACTTCGCGGATTTCACCTATCGCGGGTTATTTTTAGAACGTAACCCCCACGATAAACAAGGGACCACTGTACAGTCCCTGACAAAAGTCTTGTCGCTTATCCATTTTGTAGAAACATAAGCTTATAACTTGACTTTAAATTAACCGATTGGTTTTAGAAATGTCTCATATGAAAGCTGAAACCCTCCCAAATTATGCTCAATATACTAAAAAAAAATTGCTTCACTGAAAAAAGATTGATCATTTAATGACCACAGAAAGGTCAGATTTTGGCAAGACAAAAGTCTTGTCGCCTTGTCATATGATGCACCCAATCCTAGATTACAACCTCACCTGTGGTCAGTTACTGATCAATCAGTTAGTGGGTGTGTATAAAAAGAACCCCAGCACACCAGACCTTCACATCAACTGCAACTTGACCTCTGACAACATGCCTAAGATCCACCCTGAGACCAAAGCATTAATTATCAAGAGGCTGAAGACCAGATCCACTGCTGAGGTGGTGACACCTTCAATGTGTCTCAGCGTCAAGTACAAAGAATAAGAAAAAGATCTGAAATGACTGGAGATGTTTTTGACAAGCCCAGGTCCGGCAGACCCCGCAAGACAACTGCTCGGGAGGACCGTTTGTTGATTCGAAAATCCAAGGCCAGCCCCTTTTCCACCTGGTCACCTCAAGTCCCTGTGTCAACCTGAACAGTTTGTAGAATTCTGTCTCGAAATGGCCTCCATGGTCAAATCAGTGCACAGAAACCAGCACTAAACAAAAGGCAATTAAAAAAACGTGTGGCATTTGCCAAGGCCCACAGCCTGCTAAAAGGATGGACACTGGAAAAGTGGCAGAAGGTGGATTTCTCAGATGAATCCTCAGTTGAATTACATCACAGCTACCACAAATATTGCAGGAGACCTACTGGAGCCTACATGGATCCAAGATTCACCCAGAAAATAGTTAAGTTTGGTGGCGGAAAAATCATGGCCTGGGGTTACATCCATTATGGGAGTGTGTGAGACATTTGCAGGGTGGAAGGCAATATCAATAACCTAAAATATCAAGAAGTATTAGCTACCTCTTACATTCCCAACCATAAAAGGGGTCAAATTTTGCAGCAGGATGGTGCTCCATCGCATACTTTTATCTCGACATCAAAGTTTCTCAAGGCGAAGAAGATCAAGGTGCTCCAGGACTGGCCAGCCCAGTCACCAGACATGAACATCATTGAGCATGTCTGGGGTAGAATGAAAGAGGAAGCATGGAAGGCAAAACCAAAGAATCTTGATGAACTCTGGGAGGCATGTAAGACGCTTTCTTTGCTATTCCTGATGACTTCATCAACAAATTGTATGAATCACTGTCAAACCGCATGGATGTGTCCTTCAAGCTCATGGAAGTCATACAAGGTATTAAATATGGATCTCACAGCACCACTACTTAATTCACTGACGTTATGCAACATATTTTTGTATTTGAAGTAAATTATTCGTTCAGTTTTCTGTAGTCGACAAAACTTTTGTCTTGCCAAAATCTGACCTTTCTGTGTTCATTAAATGATCAATCTTTCTTCAGTGAAGCAAATTTATTTTAGTATATTGAGCATAATTTGGGAGGGTTTTAGCTTTCATATGAGACATTTCTAAAACCAATCGATTAATTTAAAGTCAAGTTATAAGCTTTTGTTTCTACAAAATGGATAAGCGACAAGACTTTTGTCAGGGAGTACTCTCACCTCCAACCTGTGCACATGACCTCCCACTTGTCCCGACCGAGACGGAAAACGGAGAATTTCTTGTACAAGTCACTGTTAAATGCGCATTTGTGCTTCGGTATGTTGCAGACTGACCGACTGTTTGTGTCTGCTCGCTCCTTCTGAGTCACAGATGCTACGAGTAGGGATGGGCATTCGATGAAATTTTCTTAATCAATCGTCGGAAGAATTAACGATCGATTATCGATTAATCATTAAAGTTTTTATATTAAAATGATCATCATTATTATTACTATCTGCACTACTAATCTGCATAAATAAATTCAACTTTACGACATATAAACCGTAATGACTCTAGAGCCACATCAATCCGTTTGACATTATAATGTGTTTAATTCAGTTTTGTGCAACTCTCACAGAAATGAAACTTAAAACCGCATTGCTAATTTGCATAAACTCAGCGAAGATAAAACTCCAGCTCTTGTGCGCTGATGCGGTTCAGCTTCTGTCGGATTAAAAGATACGACTCAGTGGAATACAGGTTAGTGTGACCATATTTGCGTTTGTCAAAATCAGAACACCGTACGGGGGGTGGGAGGTGGGGACTCGTCATCGACATTGCGCGACTCTCACCTGGTAAAGCTTTGTCCACTGCACACCGAAACATATGTTCCTGCTTTGTACACTGTGCACATGGACTCACACTTGTCCCAAATGCAACGGAAAGTGTGGAATTTCTTGTACAAATCATCGTTAAATACACATTTGTGCTTCAGTATGCTGCAGACTGACGGACTGTTTGTGTTTGCTCACTCCTTCTGAGTGCAGAGAGCTACATGTACGGACCCCTGTTTGGTCACGCTACGCACAGCAACCTACATTCGGTTTGTCGATTAAAATTAACGTAATCGATGAAATTCTTAATGATAAATTATCGATTAATCATGCCCATCCCTAGCTACGAGAGACGCTCAGTTTAATGCCCCCAATGAACAGTACTGAAAACCCGGACATTTGCATCACTTTATAAAAAAAACCCGGACGCCGGACAGGACGCAAAACACGGACATGTCTGGGGAAAAACGGACGTTTGGTCACCCTAACATTATGGGCGCAGGTTTGGTTTGAGAGGACTCACTGTTTTGCACTATAGTGTTCCCTTTTCATATGCTTTATAGTGTATTATATTCAGGCTGAGATCACGCATTATTGTTTCAAATTTCAGCACGATCGGACTAAGCATGTGCGTGTAATAATAAAATATTTTTGGGGGAGTCTTTTCGCCCCTACTGGCCAGCAGTGAAAAATTCCCCATGTCCATAATATACTTTTTTGCTCATAATTATGCATAGAATTTAATTCCCAAATTTGGTGCAGATTCGATAATGTTGACGTATCATGTGTATGGTAGGGGACGCTATAGTGTTCACTTTTCATATGTTTTATAGTGTATTATATTCAGGCTGAGATCATGCATTAGTGATTCAAATTTCAGCACAATCGGACTAAGTCTGTGCGAACAGGAGCAAATAATGTCACCTTGAAAAACCGTGACGTAAACCGTGACAGTTATCAAAATAAATTGGATAACTTTAGATGCCCCACTTCTGTAGATGATGTACGGTGATTTTATGTGAGCCTGTTTGACCCTATTTCTTACCTTATTTTAATACTACTGAGCTATTTTAATACTATTTTAATACTACTACTTCTAATCCTAAAAAAAAAAATCTAACCCTACAATACAACCCTTGACAATCTTGAAGCCCCCCCTTAGCCTACAATAACACTATTGCTGCTGCTAGTCCTAATACTGCAACTATTTCTACCATACAGGCCTCATCCATCTTGTAGAACCCCATCCATCTTGAAGCCCCCCTTCACCTAACATGTGAACCTGTCTCAACTCTTACCCTGCCATAAACTTTTTTTTTTTTTTTTTTTTTTCATTGAAAGCCTTGAAAGAGGATTAATCAATATAAGAATTGCGAGTCTGGACTGTCACACAGACACTGGACTGTCACACAGACACTGGACTGTCACACAGACACCTCTGATGTCCCCTGTATCCCTGTATACTATTCAATGTGTGTGGTTATACTTAGATTTTGCCAATGAATCCTCATTGAATATAAGAAAGTCTATGCTCCTTAATTTTAACGTTTTAAAGTTAGTGAGCGTAGACCTTTCCTATAGCTTTGAATGACAACACACATTTTTCATGTTGTTTGGCAACAAACAGTATAGGTAAGTTTTTTTGTATAATTTTACAATATTGTATTGTTGAAGTACAGAACATTTATTTGTTTGTTTTCCTCATAGTGAGATGGAACTTTAAACTGGTGGCTGTAGAGAGGAGGAGTGGAGGAGGAAGCTTCTATCCATGTTTGTCATACAAAGTACAGGTACACTTGAGATGACTTGTATTTGTCCCTCCTCCAAGTGTACTGAATATTTGTGTTTTTTTGCACAAGGTCCAGGCTGGGTCAGGAGGGAGGCTGAGGTCCTGACGTGGGACTGCTGTGTGACTAACTCACAACAGGTAAGTTTTTCATATTTATAGTATAAAGTATTCATGTACAGTACATTTATTTGTGTGTTTTTCTTCCAGTGAGATGGAGAGGAGGAGTGGCGGAGGAGGCTTATATCCATGTATCTTCTATCCAGGGACAGAAATGAAAGGCTTGTGGCTGTAGCCACTGTGAAACGTGTCAGTGATGTTCATGCTTTATCGGTGTGTCCGTCTTGTAATTCAGCACTCATAAACTCAGACTGTGTCAGAGTGACCCTGCACCCCAATTCAGCCTTTATTCCAAAACTGGTTGACGCCTGTACCTAAGTGTGGACACTTTTCAGCCTCCTTCCCACATTTCTGCTGAGCAGCAGCATTCACACAGGTTGTGCCCTGTGCGTGTGGCACATGGCATCCTTTACCAACACTGTAATGCTACACAACACAGTGAACACAAGGCCCTTATGGGAAACCTGAACAATTTCCTTAAACACCAAAATGTAAGTAATGCACTGTTCTACACACAACTATTTTTAAGTGCATTCATTGTGGACAACAAAAAGTGTTCTATTTAATTGTCTTGTGTTCTGTTCTCTTCGAGATTCAGGAGCAGGACCACACCTCAACCTCCCCCTGCTCCTCTCCAGTGAGCCACAGCTCAGCTCAACCACACCTTCAGTTACCCTGAAGCATTTTCTATCCAGGCCTATCCTGACAGCACAGTCTGTCTCTGCTCTCTCGACCCCTTCCCTCTCACCCCGTGTCTCTCGCTCAGCCTGTAGACCTCATCGTCTACAAAGGAGGGGGGGTCCTGAATCGTCTGGGCTGACCACCTGAGACAGAGCCCCCGATCCTGACTCCCCTCCCCGCCATCACACATCTGTCCATCGTCAATAAATATCTTGATCGTATTCCATTGTTGTGGTGTGGTCCTTGCCAGTGAAATACTACTGTGTGGCTGAAAATGAAGACTGTCTGTCTGATATTAAGACATGTGCCAAGTTCCGCAACCTAAACGACCGCAACAAGCTGTTAAGAACTTTAGCAGTCAACAGCATAAGCAATGTTTACTGTTATATGTCGTGTTTGAATAGCCCTTTATTTATTCTGACTATTCAATTATTTCAGTTATTCCACTTGTATTTTGTTTATTAGAATTTTGGCTGAAGATAATAAATCTATTTGCATTTCTACCACCAGATGCCACCAAAAGATATTCAAACTCAAATAAATGTAATAGCTGCAAGATTTGTATCATAGGCCCACTGATCCTGAATCAGGATCCTGATATCCTCGTCCACCACCTAAAGATAAAGATAATAAAGATAATAAAGTTGTTCTCCTGAGTGCGGGGCATCTCTCGGGTCTCAAGTTAAAGGACTAAGGTACTGTACTTAGGTAAGGTACAGATACCCAAAATGTATACTTTTACATTTTAAAGTGGATACTCTTTTTTTCAAACTGTTGTGAATGTCTGACCTGCTCAGTGTTAAAGAGTTGATCGAAAAGGCAAAAATGCCGGAGTTAATGGGACATGGTGATGAAAAAGAAGATCTTCAGAAAGAGCTGAATGATCTACGGATTAGACTTAAAGGAAAAGAAGAAGCTATGCAGCAGATGATAACTAAAAATGACCCTACAACCCAGGCCAAATAGGTGAGCCCGGACAAAGAGACAAGCTCACATTTTCTAGTTTGGTCAGGCAGATTGAAAGCAGACTCATTAAAAGCTACCAAGAACACTATCCTGACTGGGTTGCAGAATGATAATATCAAGAGTGACATGCAGCCCTATCTCCTCCAGGCAACTACATCTGATCAAGTGTTGTTAGAGAAAGTGAAAATAGCATGTGCACATGAAAAAGAACGACCAGATGAGAAGAAACGTGCTGTTCCTCAGCGAGCAACTACAGTTAACACAATTCAGCCTAGTGACACACCAGCCCCTGCCGAGGTGAAGACGGTCCAAAAACAAAGCACTGCTGTTATGCCACCAGAGCTCCTGTCTGAGATTAAGGAGATGTGCTCTGAGATGGTGCTTTTAAAGGAGTTGAGAGCTGAGGTGTCCCAGATCATAGAGACTATGCACAAGTCTACAGCTGCAGCACCCATCTGAGGGGGGCCTGAGAACCATCACCCAGCGCAGACCTTCACGCCACGCCCACCGTACCAGGAGCAACCCTTGCTGTACCGCTGTGAGATAGTATTTTGATCCCAGGGTCAAAATACTATATGGTATGTTGACCCCAGGGTCACCTCACTGTGGGGTCAAAATCCTATACCACACTGGGAGCATCACCCACCGTGCCAAGTGGAGCCATCTGCCAGGACCTTCTACTCCCAGCGCACCCAAGCAGCTCTTCAGATGTATCACACTTCCTCAGGTTCAGGAACAGCGAGGGGGGGCACCAAATTCCAGCAGAGCTTTGCCCCTCAGCGGTACCATATGTCACGCCCACCACCCAGGTGTTACTCTTGCTTTCACACAGGGGAAGAGTTCTGTCAGCACTGTTTTAGATGTGGAAGTGGTGAGCATTTTAGGGCAGGCTGTAAAGCACAGAGGCCAACAAGACAAGCCAGGGGTAGTACTTTAAACTAGCAGGGGTCACTCCAACGGGACATGGTGTGACCATAGAGACAGTCAGGTCCCAGTGTTACGGTTGTACTACTAAAAGTGAGATTCACACCCAGTCAGTGTTAGAGCTCCTGATTGACTGTTTAGTACAGCCTCCTGTTTTAGGTTTTCCTGACTTCTCACAACCATTTATCCTACATACAGATGCCTCTAGCCAGGGATTAGGCGCTGTTTTGTATCAAAGGCAAAATGGCAAAATCCGTGTGGTAGCTTATGGATCAAGAACACTCAGCAAGTTTCGTGATTACTTGTACTATGCACCCTTCTTTACAGTGTATAGTGACAATAACCTGTCGAAGTTTTCACTTTTTCATTGGTTTATTTAACAATAACTGGCAACGTCACAAGGGGGCAGTACAACAATAATAACAACATTGTAAAATTACTGCATGACAACATTGACCTTATAACAGTCCCACTTAATTTTACAATACCATTTGTATAAGATTTTCCCTTTTGAAAATAAAATGAAAAAACATATTTACGCCTGACTAACAACTAGGCATAATAAACACTTAATAAACTGAACACAGGCCAATCTCTTCTCTGAGATGCTCAAACTTTTGCTTAGGCAAGGGTTTTGTTAGAATATCTGCCCTCATATGATCTGTTGAGATATACTGCAACTGTATTTGTCCATTCTGCACACATTCACGAATGTAGTGGTAACGAATGTCTATGTGCTTGGTTCTTGCATGATCAACTGGATTCTTTGCTATTGCGATGGCTCCTTGATTATCCTCCAGGATCACAGTCGGTATGGTCTCCATTCCAAGTTCAGTTAGTAGTCGTCTCAGCCACGTTCCTTCCTGTGCAGCTTGGCTTAGTGCGACATACTCAGCTTCTGCAGTTGAAAGTGCTACTGTGGCTTGTTTCTTACTCAGCCAACTTACTGCTCCTCCAGCGAGTAGAAAGATGTTTCCTGTAGTTGAACGCCGATCATCCTGATCACCTGCCCAGTCTGCATCTGAGAATCTAAGTTTCTAACTAAGTTTCCTGTCTCTGTTCGCTTATACTTGAGTGCAAGGTTTTGCGTCCCTTTCAAGTATCTCAGTATTCTTTTGACTGCAGTGAGATGTGCAGTATTTGGATTTGCATTGAACTTTGATACGGCACTCACTGCTTGTGCGATGTCTGGTCGCGTGGCCATAGCAGCATACAGCAAACTTCCTACCATGGACTGATAGGCACTCTGGTTCACTGGCTTACTGACATCATAATTCTTTTTTAGCTTAACATTTGTGTCAGCTGGCGTTGCCACTGGTTTGGCACTGTCCATTCCATATTTTTTAAAAATACCCTCAATGTATTTTTTCTGATGAAGAAAGATGCACTCTTTATCTTTGTCTTGAACAACAGAGATGCCCAAGATGTAGGACAGCTCACCCATGTCCTTCATTTCGTATCTTTTCTTCAGAGTTTCTTTCAGCTTGTCCATACTCTCAGCTGACTCTGTAATCAAAATCAGATCATCAACATACACAGCCAGTATTTCTAGTTCCTGACCTGTTCTAACACACACTGATTTGAGGTACTCTGAGCAAAGCCAGTGTCCTTCATAAACTCTGTGAAAGCTTTGCTCCAGCAGCGAGGTGACTGTTTTAGTCTATAGATTGACTTTTTCAGTTTGCATACCATACGTTCTTGTCCTTGTTTTGTGTAACCTTCTGGTTGCTCCATGTAGATTTCCTCTTGTAAGTGTCCATTTAGAAATGCTGTAACAACATCCATTTGGTGCACATGGAGATTGTTTTGCACAGCAAACGATAACAATGTACGGACTGAACTGAACCGTACCACCGGTGAAAAAGTCTCATCATAGTCTGCACCATAAACCTGTGAGTAGCCCTTAGCAACAAGTCTACACTTGTATCTTTCAACTCGTCCGTCACTGTGATGCTTGACTTTAAACACCCACTTTGATCCTATTGCTTTGTGTTCCTTTGGTAGCTCCACCAGGTCCCATGTGTCATTTTCCAACAGCGATTCATATTCCAGATCAGCCGCTTCCTGCCACTCCTTTGCATTTGGACTCACCATGGCTTCTTTCAGTGTGGTTGACTCTAAAACACAACACATGTTAGCATAATGCTCAACAGTTACTACATCAGCAAACTCCTCGTATCCAAATCTCTTTGGAGGCTTTCTGATTCGGCTTGACTGTTTAACAAGCTCACTATCTGTAGTGTTCTTAGTATTTGTTTGCTTTTCATCAGTGTTTAGTGTCACTTCATTTTCTACGTAGTACTCTCCTCTTTTGCTCATCCCACAAACGATAACCCTGTGCATTGCTTGCATAGCCTATGAAGCGAAGCTTTACTGCTTTTTTGTCCAGCTTCCTTCTTTCTACATCTGGGACATGTGCATAAGAGACACAGCCAAATACTCTCATATGACTAATGTCTGGCCTTTTTTCATACCACCTAATGACGTTTCCCTTTTGAGAACCGACGTGGGCAACCTGTTCTGTATATAGGCTGCAGTTGCAACAGCCTCTGCCCAGTACATGTTTGGTAGCTTTGCATGAGATAGCATACTTCTGGCTGCTTCAACTAGTGTCCTGTTTTTTCTTTCTGCTAAACTATTGCTACTTTTCCCCCACTGTTTATGTCTTATCCCCATCTGTCAGTCCATTATATGTAACTTATTTTGCACCTTAGCTTTGTGAACTTATCTACCACTGGATGCCTTCTTCTTGTTCTTCTGTAGAAATGGAACTTTACTTTGGAGATGCTTCGGTCAGAAATGTATAAATGTATATATTTAAAGTATTCTAGAAAAAACAAGTGGGATTTTGAAACCTTTTGCTTTTGCAATGGCATAGAATAATAATTTGAAATAAAAAATGTACAAAAGTGCATGTTGTCTTGTGTATCTTAATGCAAATTCAAAAGTATTGTCACTTTTCTGGTGGCAGCCTGCTTGTCTCTATGAAGATGTTAGTTCTTTGCATGGAATAGTCCACAGTATGGTATTGCATGTATTATTCTTGCATCAGTTTAAATGGCAAATACTTTTATGGCTCAAAATATCTGGAAAAACATGCATTTCTACTGTGAGCAGGTTCCAATCTCCTCTGATCTGATTGGGAAGTCGACTTGTTTTCTCATCTCCATGGAGATAGATAAGTTCAGTGTAGTGTTATGGAATGTTCTATGGTCACAGCAATTACATCGCCATGGAGACAAGCAGCTTGCCAGAAAAGTGACATAGTGCACCTTTAATTCTTCACTATACTGTAAGCCTCATATCATCTCTCTCTTTTTTATTCCACATCCAAAAAAGTCCATCTAGTCTTGGTTTAGTTTTGGTTTAGACTGTTGACTGTATAAATAAATGGACATAGCTAACGCACTAACTACAGCCTTCCAAATAGGACGAAGTTTGGCTCCAATTTACTTAACATTTAAATCTGTCACCCCTCTCCCTATAAATGCTGCAGTAAGCCTTGGCATTTTAGTTTTAAAATGTTTATATCAATGTGCTCTACAGAATCCTGAGGTGTTTTTACTTTGCAGTTTTGTCTGTTAATACTTTTATATTTCTGTTATGGATCTTGGCTCCAAATTTGCCCCTATAAACACTAGCCTTGTGAGTGTAGGGAAAGGTGCCTGTTCAGGGCCTGCTTCCCCCATTCTGACAGAATCCACAAACCAGGAACCTAGAGAAGTCGGTTCTGCCTGACTGCCTCTTGGTATTTACAACCCCAAGCGAACCGATCTTCGGTGCTTTCACACCTCTCTTTCCCCACGCCAAGTGGGACATGAACCAGAATGGGAAATTGACATGGCTCTGCTAAAGTGATAAGGACTGTTAAATAATGACATTCCTCATTTTGCTTTGAAGAAACAGACCCACATCATCTACATACCAGACCATCAGGCGCCAATGCTTGGACCGGTTAAAACCGCGATGGACTGTGGTTGCCACTTTTGGACACTAGAGAAGGACTGGATTAAACGCATCTCGATAACTAGTTAAAAATGTTTTTAACTGTGTTCTATATAAGGCTCATGTTGATACAAGACAAGTATGCCACATTGCTTAATTCATGTGTTCATAGTCTCTTGTGTGTATTTCATGTCATGTTCCCGCGGAAGTATTTACGGTAACTTCCGGCGTGTTTTCAGACAGATATACCTTTGATTTCTTTGTATGAATCGTCGGCTAATGTTATCGTAAACAGTTAGTACCTGAATGTGGGAAGTTATCAATTTAATATTTGCAAATGATATTCCTACAGGGACTAGTTCAGCTCAGACGCGGGCGTGCCTTAAATTTGCATATAACAACGCCCACCAAGCGCACTGACCAAAACGAAGCCTCACGCGCGAAAACTTTGCTTTCGCTACGCATCGTGCTTTCGCTTCGCATCGGGCTTTCGCTTCGCATCGTGCTTTCGCTTCGCGCTTTCGCTGAGCTGAGCTTCATTTGTCACACTCCCTTTGACCATTTCTTAATACAGCCTATGGTCCAGACCTGGTTTAGTCCATCTCTAAACCTGGAAATTCATAAACCAGGACTAAACCAGCATCAAACTAGAACCAAACCAGGACAATACACCTTTCATTAGTCCTTCTAGTCCTGGTTTAGATCTAGTTTAGACCTGTTCTAGTTTAGCCCACCCACTATGTTTAAAGTATCCTGGTTACACCCCCTACTTGTTTTCATGGGGATAGAAAAGTTGAATGAGTAACTGTGAGACATTATAAATAACATCTTTATGGAGACAAGCAGCTGACAAACCATCTACCAGAAAAGTTGCATAGTGCACCTTTAATTCTCCAACGGATTGCAAGTCTCATATCGACCTGGTGTGAAAGAAGGACAATTTTTGGGTTACATTTCTCCCCATGCAAATCTGTCAAGTCTTGTTTTAGACCTGGTTTAATCCTAGTTTAGACCTTGAGTAGTCCTGGTTTAGTTGCATAGACCCATTCTAGTTTAGCCCACACAAATCCTTGCAGTATCTTTAATGCACGTTTAAAGACTTGGAAAATCACTTCTTAATGAATGAAGTGCTCTTCTTGTCTTCAGTTCAGTGACTCCATTTTCACATTTAACATGTTCTGAAAATAGACCCAGGATCTAAGTAACTCTGCCTGAGCTCCTTGTGTCAGCCGCTGTGATGGACAGAGATTCATGTTTTACACAACAAAAATATTATATAAATGGAAGAATGACTTTATTTCTTCAAAAAGAACAGGCAAATATACTGTATACATGTGGACTAAATCAAACTGATGGTTTAATGTATGATTTTGGAAAGGAAAATGAATTGGATGATATCATAGTTGAATTTGCTTTAGTTCTACTTATTGCTTTTCATTTTTTATATTTTTGTTTTAAGAATACATCAAATATATAAGAAATAAAGACTACCCATTCTTAAGAAAAAGTACTAAACCAGGTATAGTCCAGGTTTACAATTGTGGAACAAAAATGTGTGTGCTATTGTCTGGAACCGTGCAGCTGGTGACAAAGAACAGCATCATCTGTTTTTTAAAGGAATTTCTTAAAACTGAAAGAATTCAACTCAACAGATTAAAAAAAGACCTAATGCATGTGCTGGTGCTTTATTTTGCTATTTGGTCCGCAAATCAATTCCTATTCTTAATTCCAAACGGGCTCCAAATTTGTCCCTATAACTTCTAACCTCTGTGAGCTTCCACCTGTTTTGTTTTGACAGTGTACTGCACAGACAGTGTGTAAATATCTCATTTTGACCAACAAAAGTGACTTCTGTGACTTTTAAACATCATTGTAAAGCGATGTTTGAGAAGGATGTAATGTGTACAGTTTGTGAACATCAATAAAAGTGACAGAAAGCTCACATTTTCTCCCTCCTTGTTCTTTTCCCTTCATTTATACAAAAAAAAGTTGTGATTATTCTTTGTTCTTGAACTTCCACTGTTCTGGTAGAATGTGTGCTGTGTGACTTGGATCTGGCAATAATGAAGGCTCCTCAAATTTCAGTACAGCCATTATCTGATATGATATAATATGATATATTATATTATAATACAATATAATATGATATATTATATTATAATATAATATAATATAATATATTATAACATAACATAACATAATATAATATAGATTCAGTCAAACTCTTACATTTCTGCTGTTAAACAGTGAAACTGTTACCTGAAGCCACTTCATATTGGAACTCATTGCACGGGGAGATTGACTGGAGCAGGGCTTGGCTGGTTGGCGAGAGGCTCTGCATTTATAACATAATTAAAGAAGTTAATTTCAAAATTCTCAATTCTCAAAATATTTACCCAGCCAAAAAAACGTTAGATTCAAATTAAAGATTGATTACAACTGTGACTTCTGTCGCACCGAAATAGAAACAATCACTCACCTGTTTTACCACTGTACATACAGTAAGAACATTTGGAACCATATACAACTCATCCAAATCAAAACCAAACACTCGATCAGCCTGAAAGTGAAAGTGACATCCTATTCTTTTTCACCAGCCCCTCCATCCCCAAAGATCTTGAACTCCTCATTCATCCATCCATCCATTCATTTTCTTCCGCTTTTCCGGGACCGGGTCGTGGGGGCAGCAGTCTAAGCAGGGACTCCCAGACTTCCTTCACCCCAGACACGTCCTCCAGCTCCTCCGGGGGAACCCCAAGGCGTTCCCAGGCCAGCCGAGAGACAAAGTCCCTCCAGCGTGTCCTGGGTCTTCCCTGAGGTCTCCTCCCGGTGGGACATGCCCGGAACACCTCCCGAGGGAGGCGCCCAGGAGGCATCCGGAACAGATGCCCGAGCCACCTCAGGTGGCTCCTCTCGACGTGGAGGAGCAGCGGCTCTACTCCGAGCTCCTCCCGTGTGACTGAGCTCCTCACCCTATCTCTAAGGGAGCGCCCAGCCACCCTGCGAAGGAAACTCATTTCGAGTGCTTGTATCCGCGATCTCGTCCTTTCGGTCACTACCCAGAGCTCATGACCATAGGTGAGAGTAGGAACAAAGACTGACCGGTAAATCGAGAGCTTCGCCTTTCGACTCAGCTCCCTCTTCACCACAACGGTCCGATACAGCGACCGCATCACTGCAGACACTACACCGATCCGCCTGTCAATCTCACGTTCCGTCCTTCCCTCACTCGTGAACAAGACCCCGAGATACTTGAACTCCTCCACTTGAGGCAAAGACTCCCCACCCACCCGGAGAGGGCAAGCCACCTTTTTCCAGTCGAGAACCATGGCCTCGGACTTGGAAGAGCTGATCTTCATCCCAGCAGCTTCACACTCGGCTGCAAACCGCCCCAGTGCACATTGCAGGTCCTGGTTCGATGGAGCCAACAAGACAACATCATCTGCGAACAACAGAGATGAGATCCTGTGGTCCCCAAACCACACCCCCTCCGGCCCCTGACTGCGCCTAGAAATTCTGTCCATAAATACAATGAACAAAACCGGTGACAAAGGGCAACCCTGGCGGAGTCCAACGTGCACCGGGAACAGGTCTGACTTACTGCCAGCAATGCGAACACAGCTCCTGCTCCGGTCATACAGGGACCGGACAGCCCTTAGCAAAGGGCCCCGGACCCCATACTCCCAGAGCACCCCCACAGAACACCACGAGGGACACGGTCAAATGCCTTTTCCAAGTCCACAAAGCACATGTGATATTGTGCAATGTACACATGTACATTTGATATTTAATGTTTGCTGACGACTAAGACAGGAAAGCCCAATAGTTCCTGGAGGGACATCTGCTTGAAGTATGCCCAGGGCAAATTCCACTTTTCAGCTGGCAAACGGCCAGGGGCCAAGAAATGGAAAAAGGCCTTAGAGAGGATTGATGCTTGCCCCTGCAGAGCCATGCTAAGGATCTGTTTGGGAGAAGCCTTCAGTGTACCTGTGGGTTCCACAAGGTAGGTGAAATTATTTACTAACTTATTAGTAAAGTACAAAAAGAGACAATTAAAGAAAGCTTTATTTCCCTCTTTTTGTACTCCCCCCAGCCAGCAGATCTGTCATCAGGTGCTGGGTCCAGTGAGGCAGGAGGAGTTGAGACGGAAGCAGGGCGAGTCCAAGTCAACACGGAGGCAGGGAGAGGAAACACGGACACAAGGAGAGGAGACACAGAGACAAGGAGAGGAGACACGGAGGCAGGGAGGCAGGGGGACACGCACAGACAGAAACACACATGCACAGACAGACACGCACACACAGAAACACACACGCACACACAGAAATGCACACAGAAACACACATGCATACACAGCCACACACACAGACACACACACACACTCAGAAACACGCACACACAGAACACGCACAGATAGACACAGACAGACACAGACATGCACACACACACAGAAACACACATGCAACAACAGACACACGCACACACACACAGAAACACACACGCGCACACCGACACACACTCACACGCACAGACACACAGAAACACACACGCACAGACAGACAGACAGACACACGTACACATACAGAAACACACACGCACACACACAGAAACACACACGCACAGACAGCCGCACACACAGAAACACACATGCACAGACAGACACACGCACACACAGAAACACACACACAGAAACACACACACAGAAACACACACGCACACACCGACACACAGACACACACATGCAAACACAGAAACACACACAGAAACAGACACACGCCCACACACACACAGAAACACACACGCACAAACAGACACAGACACACACAGACACACACACGCGCGTCCCCACACACACACACACAGAAACACGCACACACAGAGACGCAGACAGACAGACACAGACGCACACTCAGAAACACATGCGCACACACACACACACACACAGAAAAACAAACGCACAGAAAGACACATACACACACACACAAACAGACAGACACACACACACAAACAGACAGACATGCACACACAAACAGACAGACATGCACACACAGAAACACACAGACAGACACAGATGCACACACACACAGAAAAACAAACGCACAGAAACAGACAGACACACGCACGCACAGAAAGACACATGCACACACAGAGAGACACAGACACATGCACACACAGAAACAGACACAAACACATAAACACACACGCACAAACAGACACAGACACACGCGTACAGACACAAACACACACAGAAACACACAAGCGCACCCAGAAACACACACAGACAGACACAGACACACACATACACAGACAGACACCGACACACACAAAGAGACACACAGACACAGAAACACACACGCACAGACAGACACACGCACACAGACACACACAAACACAGAAACACACAAGCACACACAAAAACATGCACAGACAGACACAGACACGCACAGACAGAAACACACACACACATAAACACACACGCACACACAGAGACACGCACAGACACACAGAAACTCGCACAGACAGACACAGACGCACACACACACACAGTAACACACGCGCACACACAGACATGCACGCACAGAAAGACACCCAGAAAGACAGACGCACACACACACAGAAAAAGAAAGACACAGACACACGCACGCACACACACACACAGAAACACACACACGCACACACCAACACACTCTCGCACACACAGACACACACGCAAACACAGAAACACACATGCACACACAGACACACGCACAGACAGACACACACACAGAAACACACACGTGCACACAGACACACGCATACACACACAGAAACACACACGTGCACACAGACACACACGCACACACAGAAACACACATGCAACAACAGACACAGGCACACACACACAGAAACACACACGCGCACACCGACACACACTCGCACACGCAAACACAGAAACACACACGCACAGACAGACACGCACGGACAGAAACACACACACACAGAAACACACTCTCGCACACACCAACACACTCTCGCACACACCAGCACACTCACACAGACACACACGCAAACACAGAAACACACATGCACACACAGACACAGACACACGCACAGACAGACACATTGTTAGAACTATTTGTATTCAATGTGTTTTTTTTTACCTAATTAACAATGGTTGTTTTTCACAGGAGTGTCTTCAGTGACCAAGCTCTTCCACCCATGGAAGTCTGCAGTGCGCTCAGACAGTTTTCATTTTGTGAGGCGCTTCAACTGTGGCCTCACTACAGAACACCACCCTCTATATGGCACCTTTTGTACCAAGCTGTCATCCTGCGTTTTTGAATGGGATCAGGAGGATGTGCAACGCCTGAAGGAGGCCAAGAGAGAGGAGTGGAAGTGCAGCCACAGTGGACATGTTCCCACTGAGGAACAGCTTATGGCCACCGTCAACCCAGGAGAACTAAAGAAACACTGCAGGAGGAGGACCCGTGGAGTGGAGGAGATGCGCCGTATGATTTCAAGGCTGCTGGAATCAGTGTGGGACCTCACAGACACCACAGGGCTGTGTTTGGTGAGCCATGACAGCATGCGCCACATCTGGGAGATGCAGCAGAAACAGCTGGAGTGCTTCCAAGACCCCCCAGGTCTTGCACTGTATAGAAAGGTGGGGACATTCCAAAAGGGCGGGAAAGAGCTAGACATCCTCAAGTGTGGTGGTCCTCCTCCCTGGAGAGTTTTCACTGGCACCAGTGCGCTTTCTTTGCAAGTACATTTGCCTCAAGACATACTGTATGTATATATATATATATATATATATATATATTATATATATATATATATATATATATATATATATATATATATATATATATATATATATAATATATATAATTATTTTGAATGTTCTTTTCTCTTATGACAGAGAATGTACTGTAATTATTCAAAATAACACAATTACTTAACACTCTTATGTATTCATATGGATTCACTTTACAATAATGGTGTTGACTGAAAGTATTTTGTTTCTTAGGCTGGCGGTGCAATGCTACACATATGCAAATGTACATGCTGGAGGGGCTATCAAGGTGGAACATGGGCGGGGCCAAGGAGGCAGTAGCTGTGGAGGGGGCCTCGACCCTTAGAAGCTTCGATGTCCGCCCGATGTCCCACCTCAACAGCTTAAGCTAGCGTGTCCGTGGTTGTAATCTAGTGGCAGAATTCCCCCCACCTGGGAAACCTACTGGTAAGACTTTGGATTTCTTGGGTGCAAAGACTGTGCTATGGAGATGGATGTGTGTATGTATGTCCTTCTCTCATCTTGTGTTTATACTGGTTACAGATGAGCGCATAGTGGTGGACTATTTATTGGGCCAGACCAACAGAGGGGACCTGCTTGCGCCATGGCATGTCCCTGAAATCCCATCACAGGTGCTTGAGGAGGAGTGGGACGCAGATGATGCAGATGTCACTGTAGACATGTCTGAGGAGGGGGCTACTGGTCCTTATGACCAGTCTGTGGAGGGTGACACTGATCCCGAAGTCATCGTCACAGAGGTAGGTAACATTTTCTGTAACACCTTAGCCTACTCAAAAACACAATACTTACCTGAAATAAATGTGGTTAAACGAATAAGATGAATGAATGTAAAATCAGCATTGCTCACATAATTAGGAACAAGAGTGACCATTAATTTGCTTGGTTTTTCTTTTTCGCACTCATCACTTTCCAGACTAGCCCAAGTGACACGAGAGGGGTTGT